GTTGATAGTCTGGATGATGTTAAAAATCATACATACAATGAATTATTTATATCTGGAGGTTTTATTGTTTCTGATGAATCCATTCTAAATCCAGAAGTTATCACAATTGGTAAGATTTATGCATTCTTTTGAGCACATAACTTCTCTCTTGCCTAAGTTTTTCTCCATAACTCACTCACACTTGTTACTGTATTATCCATTCAGCCAGTCATAGATAACTAGTACATTTCCATTCATTTTCTTGAGCTTTTTACCTCAAATTCCCCATTCTTAGTCTTTACAAATAATTTCCTCTAAATTTGTTCTAAAGCAAGTAAGGCTCTCTATACCTACTGCACTTGGATTACTTCTGGTTTATTGTCATCAACATGTTCTTTTTTATAATGTGTAGATGTGATATTCTCAGATCTAAAAGAGAATATAAAAATGTCTCCTTTAGAGGTGGGGAAGAGAAAGAAACTAATACTTAGGAATGTAGGTGTTTCTACACAATATCACCATACACTTATGTAATTAAGTTTGGGTATATTGTTATTTATTGAATTTAAAATCAACTTCATTATCTCTAACAGAAAACCTTAAAAATTTTTTGACATTCCTTGAGGAACTTAGTACTCCAGAAGGAAAATGGCAATGGAAAGTCCACTGTAAGTTTCAGAAAAAACTGAAGGAACTGGGCAGGTAAGATTTCAAGAAAAACCTATATGATGGTTGTTGATTTAACATTTTGTGCACGTGGATGTTGACAAAATTTCTTTCTGGATTTCTCTGTTTATAGATTATGGGTGCTGTTCAGTTTTTCCGTAGCCAGCTATAAGGGAATGTGATTCTAAATTATTCTAACCTATTTGCAAGTGGTATTATTTAGGTAGAAGTTTGCTGAAGTTCTGGTTATGTATATAGGTAAAATTGGTTTAACCTTTGCTACTTAGGGGTTTTGAATAATAATCAGAATGGAATAATCAGTGGACTTTATTGTTTTTACTGAAGTGTGTATGCTCACTAGATCAGGCTCTCCCATTTAAGGGTTACCTTATGTTGCTAATTTAATAACAGCACACTTGTAACTGAGACAAAGATTGGTTTCACCATATATAGGGATTTGTGATCAGGACATTTACTTATGTCCTAATCACCTACATGGCTAGAAGTCACTTCTCAAAGTGTGAACCTTGGAGCAACATCCCTTTGGGAGGCTCCACAAACAATTATGTAATTAGATGAGTTTGGGATCCTATAATGTACTATTCACATATGTAAGGATCTGATAAACTCTGTAGTTAAGAATTCTGTTTTACATTTTGTCAACCAGCATTTCTTAAACTCAGACTACAAATTTTTTCTAATATTTATTGATATTCCATAGTACACACTTAGGGAAATTCATGCTTAAATAATTTTAAAGTACTTGACTTTTGGTAGTAATTGTTTTTTTCTTTTAATCCTCACCCGAGAATACTGAATTACTTAATTTCACAGATTTTAGAGGGAGAGAAACATGGATTGGCTGCCTCCCATATGTGGTCCGACCAGGGTCAAACCCACAGCCTAGGCATGTGATGTGACTGGGAATTGAACCTAAAACCTTTTTGGTGTAGGAGACAACACACCAACTAACTGAAGCCACCCAGCCTGGCGGTAGTATTGCATAATTCACTTTTTAAAAGCTTGTTTTACCTTTAAATCTTACTTTACATAACAGCAGTACTGAGGCCCAAAGGTCTAACTTGTACAAAGTTAATACCATCCTATTCCTGACAATAGTTGTTTATTTTCTTTTTGTTACCCATTTATTCCTTTACTAAAGTTCTAAATTGGAGAAAATAAAAAGAACTGTTGTAATTTGTTACTTAGTAAGTGAATGATTGAGCTTTTAGTCTACACTGAATAGTTGGCCCTCAAGCTTTGCCTGCAGAGAAAGCCCCTGAACTTTACATGTGGTTTGCACAATTGCTGTTCTCTCTCTTCTAAGAAGCATGTCTGAATCAGGCAGTGGGTTAAGGAGTGCAATTGTCATTAGTTGCCTCAAGTTAGAGATTATAGTTTACATTTGAAGCAGGAACTTCCACAGTAAATTTTAGGAGATATTGAACTACTTAATTTCACAGATTGAATGCTAAAGCTCTAAGTCTGTTGACGCTTCTGAATGTCTATCAGAAGAAACATCTGGTTGAAATTTTGTCTTACCACAATTGTGATTCACAAGCTCGAAATGCTCCAGAATTGGACTGCCTTATTAGACTTCAGGCTCAGAATATACAGCAACGACACATTGTTTTTTTAACAGGTAAGCAGTGGTCTTCAGTTTTCTACTATAAGAATGTGGATGAAAGGATTGTGTGAGGCCATAGGGGGTATTGACTGTTAAGATATGATTCTGAAAAGGGTGGTGGAAAGAATTTTAGGAGGGCTGGGAGCAGACATCAGCATTTGTCCATGTACATTTTCAAGTATTTTACACTGAGAACGTTTTCTTTTTAATTTAGAAAAGAATATCCAGATGCCCTCAAGTTATACAGACAGTGGAATAGTAGTTGCATCTGCTGCAGCTTTTATGCAAAACTTTAAAGATCTCGTGGGCTATCACAACTTGGTCACAGAAGAAAACCTTCCACTTCTTGGTGCTAATGAGAATCTTGAGTCGCAGTCAGGTAATGTTTTAATAGTTTTCATTTTCTTGAAGGCAGACAGAAAAAGAGGAATGGTTTCACTCTTTCCATATGATGAGATGCCTATTTTGAAACCACTCACACCTCAGGTAAACAGCTTCAGGGGAAGTGTTTCAATGAATTTGTCATTTTTAATATACACAAAATCTGCTCACTTATTATACAGTAGTCAATACAAGCTGTTAGTTTTTATGGACTGCATACTATAAAGTAGGCATTTTTCTCTTTGAGGTATTGTAAGCTTTATTGGCTGCTGTTGTCAGCGAAGGGGTTATATTTTTTAAAAGGATACCAGAAGTGGGGATTTAACATTGGGGTACGAAATATCCCCAGATGTAAAGTAATTTAATACAAAGCTGTAGGGCTATCCATAGCTTTAGTCTTTTGTGCAATGGCCTCTGCTTTGGTTCCAGGTTTTATATAAAAGATGTCTTTTTGGTTTTGATGAAAAGCAGAGATCATTTGATAAGAGCTTACCAGTTTAGTAATCCAGTGAAGCTAGATGTCAGAATTTTTATTTTGTATTTGTCTTGTCAAATACTGAATTACCGTATAACTTTAGATGCTGTTTTGACATTAACCCCTTTGGAGCTGGGAGTTGGGATTTCCCAACATTAAACGTGAACACATTTCGCAGAAGCTTTTAGCATCGGATTATCTGGACATTCACACCTAGTGTGAGTGTTGTGACTAAGTGAACTTGTGGCAGAAGACCAAGATTTAAGGGATTGTGGACTTGCAGACCCTGACGCATTATATTGTGTGAGTAGTGTGTAATTTTAAAGTTTAAATTGTGTATTTCAATAGAGTAGGACTTTTTGTTTTTTAAATGTAGCTCTTTTAGAAAACGATGAAAAGGATGAAGAGGATATGTCTCTGGATTCAGGGGATGAAATCTCACAAATAGAAGTGTACAGCAGTTCAGAAATATTGGCGAAAGAGACCAAAGGATCACGTGGAACAGATCAAAATAAGAATATTCAAATTGAGTTGCAATCGTCTCTTGACGTGCAAAAAAGTTTATTAGAAGATAAGACTTATCAAATTGATTCTGAAGAGAGAGCTTCTATTGATGTAAGCTCTGAAGGACAGAACAATTCAGCTGAACAAGATTCATATAGCAACTTTCAGGTTTATCAAAATCAATTAAATATGTCCCATCAGTGTAGTCATTTTAATGTTCTCACTCACCAGACATTTTTGGGAACACCATATGCCCTTTCATCAAGTCAGTCTCAAAGTGAAAATTACTTTTTATCTGCTTATTCTGAAAGGTTGGGGGGAAAATGACTTTCCAGGCCATCTTCAAAAGAAAAATAATTACAGTAACTTTTTTTTTTTTTTTTCATAGGTTGTTAATGGACTTTTTCTGTTTCTTAAAAGTGAATTAACAATTTATATTTCATTCTTTAAGCAAGAGGTTTCTGTCCTTACTGAAATGTTTCCCCCCTTTTATTTAAATCATGATGGCCTGTAACCGTTAAAGCATATGAAAATTGAAATAAATATATATATATATTTTTAACATATATTGTACTTGAATTATCTCATGTTGGCACTTTTTAAGTTTTATGTTTGTATGTCATCTGTACTTTGACTTCAAATTGAAGTCTGTTTTATATATAAAACTAGGTGTTTGCAAAAGGATAGTAAAAAGCAATGGCTTTCCTCTATTGTTAGATGATACCAACTACTTTTGCTGAAATGATGTATCAACTATTGTATTTATTTTCACTTAAGCTTTTGTATAGTTTTTATACAGGTATAAGCCAGTGATATTAATAAATATTTACAGGATTTTGGCTCAATACCTCAAGATTTATCTAATAATTCTGTTACATTTTTTAAGATAATAAACTATGTACATAATAAGACTTAGGCCTTAATACCAGGCAGCATTTTTTTTTTTCTTCTGGCATGTTGCTAAAATTTTGGTCAACCTATTATTTTAGAGTACTTGGTAATTATAATTTTCAGTGCTTGTGTGGCCCTTGACTTCAGTTTCAAAAATAGGTTTATTAAAGGCACTGGACAATTTGGAACAAACCCTTTGCCTATAAGTTTTTAAACTGATAGAAAAGAAGTCTTTTTGAGGTGGTAAGTACTTAAATGCTAGATTAAAACAACTTCTTAAATTCACAGATTAGTATGTGGTGGAGACAAATTTTAAACCCACAACTACTGCCAATAACTGCCTCTCCGTTACTAATGTCTTTGAAAAAACTGTAGTTCCTACAATAAGTCATAAAAACAGGAAGAAAAAAATTACCATGTGAGCTTAAATGGAATTGGTTATTTTTGAAAAAGTTAGGATATATTAAACCAGACTTATTCCTTTGGCACTTCAAAAGAAGACTTATAAATCTTTTATAGAACAAAATACATAGGTATTTAAAAAGTGTGGACGAACATTGTCTATTAGCAGACTCCAGACTGTATTAAGGTAAGTCCTAATACCCAGATTGTAACAGAGCAGAAAACTTTTATTGTTTAAAAATTATTATATATACATATATAGCATTTTATTACAGAATATACAAGTTTTAAATAAGCGTTTAAAAATAAATCTAGGCTATTTGAAAAAAAATACAGTTAAGCAATGAGCACATTTTATAATTTAGAAGACAAATGTGAAGGATTTGATTTTCTATATTGAAAATGAAGAACTAAAATTATCTTCTTGATTGGCAGCTAAAGGCATGAGATTAGTTTCCAACTCCCTTTGCTTCTGGAGAAGGCCCTGAAATCACATTGATATGTTAGTAAAGTGTGTAGCAGACTTGCATATTATTCCTATTTTACCTTGTTAATCCAGAATTGTATTAAGCTAACTCAATCTATATGAAACCAAACCTATCATTAAAAAACAGTTTTCTTCATAATCCTGTTAGTAAGGATGATTTTCTAGTTAATACTTGAATCACCAATTTGTAGTACAAGAGACATTACTGGTAAATGACTTAACATGGAAAAGGCATTCCTAAAATGGCAGTGTAAAAATTATAGCCTTAAATATTTTTATTTTTACCTAAGAAAGATTAGAATTCACAGTAATTGGTCTGGAATAAAAAGTAGTCCGAGTAAGGTAATACATATAATTTCATACTGAATTCTATTACTTGTAAATGTTCTTTGGGACTTATGTCAATGTTCAATTCTAAACACTGCCAACTGCCAACATATCCACTTTTAAAAAGTGTGAACTGCATTTCTAAGAATCTCTTCTACCATCATTGTATATTTCTTTTCTGCCTTTGGTTTTAGGGCCTTATTGATTGGTCATGTTTTACAATAATGTATGCATTTGTTTTTCATTTAATAAAAATGTCTTAATATTTGAACTGTATCATTTCATGCTGAAAATTCTTAAAACATGGCTAAGACAAAGACATCAAACGTTTCAATTTAAGAATAAAATATAGGCTAAAGTAGATTTCCAGTTCTTACAGAAAATATAAACTGTTTAACTATGAACCTACTTATCCCCCAAGCCTGTAGATAATTGACTTTTTGTTGTTTTAACTGGGGTGCAGTCACATAAATCATGTAACCAACCAGGCATTTGGTAAAACAGACATTCCAACGCTAGAAAAGTCACATCCACACTTCATAAAAGTTCATACCTGTCTCAGTTGTGATAGTCCCTTTAGGATTGCTTGCTGTCTATCCCGGTTTTTCACCAAATTAGGATTAAGAAGTGGGTCCCTGTCAGAGTCAAATAGCTGTCGTTCTTGATCACAATCTAAAGTCAGATGAAAATGACAAAAACATTTCTGATATATACAGCACTATGTTATTGTATATTCTAAGGATTCATAATGAATTTATGTCGTAGGAAAGCATTGAGCAAAATTTAACCCTTTGCACTCCGAACCACTCTGGACATTGGCTACCAGCTACTCGACGCTACTTTGCGAAACGTGTGTTGAGTTAAATGTCCCCTGAGAGGGGACATCCAAGTGATATGCTAGAATTCCGATGTCCCCTTAGAGGGGACAGCGGAGTGCAAAGGGTTAATAATGGACCTCAAAAACTTGCGCAAACCTTGTTATGATACTTTGTAGGATAGGAATACCAATTCTGAATTACCAATTTTGAATTTACAATTAAAGGGGAGAATACTTACTATGTGGATTTTGGTACTGAGGATCCTGGGTTAGAGGCCTAGACAACGGTGCATCTGGATCAAGGTAATAGATCTCATTGGTTCGAACATAGGGAATAAAATGAGATGGTTCAGAAATCCTAGGTGATAACTCTGTTTGATTGCCTCCTGAGATCAGATTCTCTCTTTCATAATTACTCTTTTTCAGTGTCTGCTGAGTTCTGTTTTTCATCACAGGAACCTGTGGTGATTGAGACCTGTATTTATAGGGACTAATGTAAATTATATATTTCAGATTAACCGTATCTAATCTTTAATTGCATTTCAATTTATCCTAAATGTACTTATAATACCTTTAGAAACAGATTTGGATTGAGTTTTTAATACTTGCTAAAGATATGTATGCTCTACTGGGATGGGGTAGGGATTAAACTACTAGATCCTGGGGGGGGCAATGCTAGCAAGGTTACTTAATTCTAATCTCAATTCATCATAAAGTAATGTACTTACATCTGACCTAAACTTGCTGTTAGAACCAGCTATTTCTTACATTAAAGACATAAAAATTGTAAGTTACAAATCTATCATTGGTTAATTGAATTTTTCATTATCCACATCAGTCATTTCTACCCGCCCCCCCCCCCAACCCAATCCAACCAGAATGTCTTAGATTGACACTGTTCACATACCTAAACCCAATTCAACCACCTTCAAAATCTAGGTAATTTTAAACGCCAGCTACCCTTTCCATTTTAAACCTCTATTCCTAACCTCAAAATCACGCTTTCCTGTTTCTGTCTTCATATGCATGTATACTTGACCTCACCTATATTTTGAGCAAATATTTTTGTATCTCTTATACCACATACACAGTACTAAGTAACTGTGGAAATCGATCTATTCATAACATACCTTTCTTTGCTGAAATAACTAATTTTCAGGGGTTCTTCTTCCTAAAAGATGGATAAATGCGGTTAGTAGTAATACTATTTGCATATGTTTGCACAATACTTTGTGTTTATTTGTTGAAAAACATCTAAGGATTATATTTGAATAAAAAATACTAGACTTTGTAATTTACCAAGTCAGAACCAATCCATTATTTTCTGATTTTATAAATTATCCTCTTGTCTATATGGATCTAAAGTTCTGAATAGGTGTTTGAATAAAGAACAGCTTTAATCTATATATGATTTAAGGGTAAACTTTTTCTATAAAGGACTAGATAGTAAACACTTGGCTTGGCCATGTGGTCTTTGTTGCAACTACTCTAAACACAGTAGCTGTTGTGTGAAGCCAGCCAAAGATAATATATAAAAGAATGAGCATAGCTGTGTATCAACAGAATTTTATTTACAAAAGCAAGCAGCAGGATGAATTTGCCCATGGGCCATAGTTAGCCATCTCCCAGTGTAAACCAAAGAAAACTTCTAGAATTCCAGTCATAGAAACGGCCTTGTGAAAACATGCATGTGAGGAACTGTGTTTTCAATCTAGAACATCAATATATGCTCTTAAATATATTTTAAGATAGAAGAGCTTTTAAGATAGAAGAGCTTTCTTTACCTTTTTGACTAAATGCGACCTGAACTTTGGCTCCGTTTCTTGATGAGATGAACGAAGAACTGGTGAATTGCCTCTGTTTTGAGAGAGGTTTCCAGGATTATTTCTTTCTACTAAATGTAGCAGTTCCATTTGCCTTCTTACTTTTTTTTCTTCTCTTTGCTTTTGAAGCTGTTTAGGGTACTTTTCTGATGCTGGAATATACGCTTTGAGTGGCTTATTTATATTCCATTCAGGGCTTTTAGAACATTTCTTCATATGTTTTGTTTGTTTCTCTGTTCTTGTGAACTGATTACACTGGTCATTACACCAACTGTTTTCTTTTTCTAAGTTGGCCCCTTTATTCTGACTTCTTAGTTCTTGTTTGTTTTTCTGAGTGTTAAACTGTTCATTAAATTCTGCAGGAATCTCAGGAGATGAGCAATGTATAATTTCCCTTTCTATTACTGATCCACAGTGTGATTCTGCACTGGTGAATATTGCAATATTTAAGTCATCTGAAAAAAGAGCTTAATATGATTCTTAAAAATGGTTAAAACATACCTAACAAGATATATTAAAAATATACCTTTAAAAAAAAATAAGCGTTGTATTAATTACTGCCCTCTAAAATGTTTGTAAAATTCTTAACATTCTATACCCATTAAATACCCCCTCTTCCTCTCACTTCAATTCCATGAATTTTACTACTAAGTGCCTCATGTAAGTAAGCACAAAGTATTTCTTTTTGTGACTGGTTATTTTCACTTAGCATAATGTCCTCAATTCATCCATGTTGTAGAATGTGTCAGAATTTTTTCCCTTTATAAGGCTTAATAATACACACTGTATACCACATTTGTTTATACACTCATCTGTGAAGGGACACACAGGTTAAAAATGCTGCTATTAATATGGGTGTTCAAATATCTTTTAGAGATCTTACTTTCTCCAGTTCTTGCAGGTATACAAAAATTCCTAGATCATATGATTTTCTATTCCCACCAATAATGCACAAGGATTCTAATTTCCTCCATTAAACCATTAAAAAAAATCTATTTTTATTGATTTCAGAGAGGAAGGTAGGATATAGAAACATTAACGATGAGAAAAAAATCATTGATTAGCTGTCTCTCTCCTGCACACTCCACACTGGCAATCAAACTGTGACCTTCTGGTTCATAGGTCAAAACTCAACCACAGAGCCTGCGGCTAGGCTTTTAAGCCATTACGTGTACAGTTCAGTGGTATCAAGCATACCTTCAATGCCACACAATTTTAGAACCTTTCATCACCCCAGACAGAAATCCTGTACCCACTAAGCAGAATCTCCCATTTCATACACGCTCTACTCCACTTTCCATCTCTAAATTTGTTCACTCACCCTACGTTTTTCAAACAAGTAGATCTATGCCAGGTGTGGGCAATCTATTTTTTCTGCCAAGGGCCATGTGTATACTTACAACATCATTTGCAGGCTATACAAATTATCAACTTAAAAATTAGCCTGCTAGCCAAAACTGGTTTGGCTCAGTGGTAGAGCGTCGGTCTGCGGACTGAAAGGTCCCAGGTTCGATTCCGGTCAAGGGCATGTACTTTGGTTGCGGGCACATCCCCAGTGGGGGATGTATAGGAGGCAACTGATGGATGATTCTCATCGATATTTCTAACTATCCCTCTCTGTAAAAAATCAATAAAATATATATTTTTAAAAATTAGCCTGCTATATTTGGTCAAATGTCATTAACTCATCCCTAATGCCGTGGCAGGGCTTTTTACAATCTGCAGGCCGGATGTTCCCCATTCTTATGTTATACTATATATCAGAACTTCATATGATTCATTTGTAGCATCACATAATATAGACCATTTTTTAAGACTTTTTTAAGAAAACCTTCCACAGGATTGTCTTGGCTTTCACTTGAATATATAAACACCATATATAATACCATCTTGTATACCTAAGTATAGTTCTGAGAAAAAGTCTACATTTTTTTCCTATCAATGATAACTGACAAACTTTTCATCAAAAGCAGTGTAAAAAATAACTTGTGAGATGTGAAGTTTTCTTAGCTTGAAATTAGCAAATTACATAAAAATAAAAGGATCTGGAAAATATCCTTCAGTCATTTTTATTCCAGAGGAACTGGGGAAAAAGAACTATCCTGGAACCAAATTTTCAGGGAAATGTTGCTGTTAATATAAAGTCACGTTGCATTTCATGTTGTTTTACCATTTATATGCCATAAGCATCTACAGACTCAACTATTGGACCTTTTTAAAATTCAAAATATTGTGGCAGTTAAGTAGCTTAAGCCCATATCTCTCTCATACCATTGTGCTTTCCCTGCAGATTATTGCTGATTCACATACAACCTTTCACTTTTTTCCATTCTAAAAAAACAAGAAAATTTCCAGTATCTTTTATCTATATATATATAAAAGGCTAAGTTACCTACCGTACGTCCGGCACATATGACATGCAATGGCAATTTAAAAATAAACATTGACTCATATACAATACATATAAAGCTCTCACCGGCACCAATCTAGACAGTAGAATATTCCTACCTGAACCCGTTTTTGGACATGGTTAGTTATATGTTGCTTTCTCTCAAGTTCGAAGAGCATGTGACTTTAAAGTTATAAATACTTCATCACAAGGGAAGTTAGTCAAGCACTCTGAAAGTGTTTTCACTTTTTTTCTTTTTAAGGATTCTGCTTATTTTAAAAAAATATATACTTTATTGATTTTGTACAGAGAGGGAGAGAGAGAGTTAGAAACATCTATGATAGAAAGTCATCGATCAGCTGCCTCTTGCACACCCCCTACTGAGGATATGCCTGCAACCAAGGTACATGCCCTTGACAGGAATGGAACCCAGGATCCTTCAGTCCCCAAGCAAACGCTCTATCCATTTAGCCAAACCGGTTTTGGTGTGTTTTTACTCAATGTGGTATATAGGAAGATAATAGAAGTAAGTTTAATCAATTTATTAGTCATTGTTTCTATCAATGTTTTTATATCCTATCTTTATGTTATTTACTAATTTATTTTCATATACATTTTACTAATTTTCTTTCATCTTTAACACTTCTATTATAGAGAAAGGGCAAATAGCAATATTAAAATATTTTTTTCTAATTAATTTCCTTTCAATGTGCATGAATCTGTGCACCGGGCCATTAGTTACATTATAATATTCGGTGATGTGCTCAGCTAGCACAGCTGTACTGTATAACCAACTGAACAACCACTTTGCAAAGACCAACTTATTAGAATTTTAAATTTACAAGTAAATAAAGGGTTCTTTATTCTGTTTTGACCTATGTGTTTGACAACAAAATGAATAATGGGAAGGTAGCACCTACAGAGTAGATTTCCTGGACAAAAGAATGATTCATGTCCTAGGTGGGACAGTACAAGATTTCATCACACCACTCAGAATGGCATGCAATTAAAAATGTATTGGTTCTTTCTGGAATTTTTCATATAAAATTTTTGGACCATGGTTAATCTAAGTTAATGTAAAGTGAATCTGTGGATAAGTGAAGGCTATAAGTGAATCACTTCAGATGTACAGACACACACACAAACTAAAAATAAAGAGATGGTGAAAAAAGGACATTATATAATGATAAAAAAATCAATCCAACAAGAGGACATAATGTGTATTTATGTACCCATAAATATAATTATTAAACACAAAGGGAGAAATAGCAATGTAATAATAGATGTTAATACCCCCATTTACCTCAGAAAATCAATAATATTGACCATACATGAAATGTTAGACCAGTTGTAATTCATAGATATACACAAAACAGCCCAACCAAAAGCAACAGAATGCACATTTTTCTTGATAGCACACAGAATATTACCCAGGATAGATCATGCGTAAGAGCACAAAACAAGTCGATAAGTATTTGAAGTCTGAAATCATACCAAACATTGTTTTCCAACCACAATAATATGAAACTAAAAATGAATTAGAAGGAAACTGAAAAATCACAAATGTGGATATTAAACAACATGCTACTCAATAACCAATGGGTCAAGGAAGAAATCAAATTTCAAAAAATACCCTGAGACAAAATGGAAATACAACTGAAAGTTATGGGATGTAGTGACAGCAATTCCAAGAGGTAAGTTCATCACAATAAATGCCTACATCAAGAAATAAGAAAAATCTCAAACAACCTAATTATAGAAATAGAATAATGACAAAAGTTAGTAGACATTAGGAAATAAAGAACACAGCAGAAATAAAAAGACAATAGAAAGGATCAATGAAACTAAAAGCTGGTTCTTTGAAAAGGTAAAATTGATAAACCTTCAGTTTGATTCACCAAGGTGGGGGGGAAGGTCTCAAATCAGAAATGAAAGATATGTTATAGCTGATAATACGGAAATATAAAGAATCATGAGACTATTATGAAAAATTATATACCAAGAGATTTTAGAATCTGTAAGAAATAAATTCCTAGCAACATAAAATCTAACAAGACTTAATTGTGAAGAAATATTTAAACAAACTAGTAAGGAAAATGAGTAATCAAAAACCTCCCAACAAACAAGTCACAACCAGACTGTTTTACTAGTAAATTACACCAATCATTCAAAAAATTATTACCAATCCTTTTACAAAAAAATTAGATAAGGAGGGAATGCTGCAAAGCTAATTTTATAAAACCAGCATTACCCTGATACTAAAACCAGAAAAGTATGTCACAAGAAAGTATAATCACAACCCAATAACCCTCATGAACACACATGCAAAAATCCACACCAAATATTAACAAAGTGAATTCAACAATACATTAAAAGAATTATACACCATGAAGTTTGATTTTTTTCAAGAACACAAGGATGATTTAATACATGCAAATCAATCAATGAGCTACACCGCTTTAATAAATACAGGTTCGCCTAACTGGTTTGACTCAGTGGATAGAGCGTTGGACTTCGGATTGAAGGGTCCCGGGTTCAATTCTAGTCAAGGCCATGTACCCTAGTTGTGGGCAGATCCCCAGTAAGGGGTGTGCAGGAGGCAGCTGGTCAATGTTTCTCATCAATGTTTCTGGCTATCCCTCTCCCTCTCTGTAAAAAAATCAATAAAATATATTTTTAAAAATACAGGTTATATATGATCATCTCAATAGAGGTAGAAAAGCATTTGACAAAATTCAAGTTACATCCTATATAATAAAAGGCTAATATGCAAATAGACGGAACAATGGAACAATCCATCACTATGATGTGCACTGACCACCAGGGGACAATCAACACAGGACCTGCCCCGTGGTCGTCAGTGTGCTCCCATAGAGGGAGTGCCGCTCAGCCAGAAGCCCTGGGCTGAGCTCACAGCTGGCAAGTGTAGTGGCAGTGTCAGGAGCCTCTCCCACCTCCCTGGCAAGGCTAATAATGTCCCACTGACAGGTAAGGCCCAAGGGGAGTGGGCTTAAGACATCAGACATCGCTTAAGGGCTCCCTGGGGGTGGCGCCCTGGGCATTTTGAGGGCTGGCTACGCCCATGGCTTTGTACATCTGGAAAACATCTGATCTAATTAGCATATTACCCTTTTATTACCGCTTCCCCAAAAATAAGACATCCTCCGAAAATAAGACCTACTTACAGGTTTCCTTCTGAGTGAAATATAAGGTATCCCCCAGAAAATAAACACCCTCCCCCCAGGCTAAACATGAGAGATTTGGTCCACTGATTCTGAAAGAAATGGAGTCACAAGAAATTCACCAGGAAATTCAGGAATTGGATTGTTATGATGATGTTCCAGATGATGATGACATGATTGTCATTGAATAAATGAGTAAATTCTTGATACTGTAGGATTCACAGTTTGTCTAGTTTGTGTTGACAATTACGTACTACCGTACCATATACAGGTAATAAATTTCCTTTATTTGCATTTAACAATAAATGTGTACCATATTCTTCTTCATGGAAAAATAAGACATCCCCTGAAATAAGACCTAGCACATCTTTGGGAGCAAAAATTAATATAAGACACTGTCTTATTTCGAGGAAACAGGGTAGTATAGAAGATATAGACTAGAGGCCCTGTGCACAAATCTGTGCACAGGTGGGGTCCTTTGGCATGGCCTGCAGTTTGTGCCACTGGCCCCTCCTGGTCAGTCATCCTGGCCCGCTGCCCGTGCCCTGCCGCAGGCCTCACATCAGTCAGTCCTGATCGGGAGAGGCTCTGGCCCTCCGGGTGGGCAGTAGGATGCCCTTGCCAGCTCGGGATCTGGATCCATCCCGCTAATGTTTGTGCTGGTTGTTGGGAGCCACCTGGCAGGCGCTTTTAAATCATTTCTTCCTTGCGGAGTGTCAAGGGAGGGGAAGCGGCTGCGGTGGACTGGTCATTCAGTTGCTTAGGCTTTTATATATATAGCTTGCTAAGATAGGGAAGCAACTTAAGTGTCCATGAATGAATGAATGAAGAAATTTAGTATGAATACATACAGTACTCATATTTACAATGGAGCATTATTCAGTCATAAAAAATAATGAAATCTTAATATGTGAGTCAATATGGATGGACGCTGAGGACATTATACAATGTGAAATGTCAGAAAAATACCATTTACTAGTAATCTCACTTATATATGGAAACTTAAAAAACAAGAAACTCATAGATATAGAGAACAGTTGGTGTGGTAGAGGAAGTGGGTGAAATTGGTGAAATGGTCAAAAACTGCCAGCTATACAATAAGACATGGAGACATAACGTACATCATGGTAACTATAGCTGACCATTCTACAATGTGAAGTTAGAGGCATCCACTTCCAGCAAAACTGAAAATCCAGATAACTTCAGTTGGCCCTGCATATTCAGATTCCTGGCAGCAGATTAACCCTTAACACGGGTTTGAAACTGTGTGGATCAATGGAGCTACACAGGTCAATCAGAAAAAACCCATATATAACTGGACCAGTACAATTTAAACTAGGGGTGTCGAACTCAATCAGAGAAGGGGCCAAAATCTAAAATCCAGCCTAAATCGCGGGCCGAATGGTTTACTGAACAGTCATAAACTGTCATTGTGATGGAAACACAGCGGAGTGCAGTGATGACAGCGCGGTGCGGGCCACATTGCAAGGCCTGGCGGGACGGATTTGGCCCGCGGGCCTTGTATTTGACACATGTGATTTAAACCCATGTTGTTCAATGGTCAACTGTATTAAAAATGCCATATTGAATATTTGCAAGTTGCTAAAAGCATAAATCTTAAAAGTTCTCATCAATAGAAAAAGTTTTAACTCTGTATAGTGTTAAATGTTCTTGTGATCATTTAGAAAATATAAAAATTTTAAATCATGATGTTGTACACCTGAAACTAATATACATGTCAATTATACCTCAATTGGGGGGGGGGGGAGTAAAGGGCAGAAAATTATTTTAAAAACAGAAGAAAAAAAAAGATTTTTCAGACAGATAGGTAAAGGCCTGAAAGAATCCATGTAAGCATGAAGACCTATTATAATGGTACTCACCTTATGTAAAACTTTTAAATGAGCATGTAAAAACATGCTCAACATCATTACTCACTCAACATAAGTTCACAATTAAAATTGTTAACAAAGATATAGAGTAACTGGAACCCTCATACACTGATTATGTGGGAATATAAAATGGTACAAGTATTCTGGAAAACAATTTGGTAGTTCCTCAAAATACTAAACGTACAGTTACTATATGGCTTAGCAATGCTCTTCATCTCTCCCAAGAGCCCTGAAAGTATTGATATATGTCTACACAATAACATGCAGATGAATGTTCATAGCAGCATACTCATAACAGCCAAAAGTAGAAGTAACCCAAATGCCCATTAACTGATGAAGGAATAAACAAATTGTAGGGCATTCATAACATAAATATTATTCAGCAATAAAAGAAAATAAAGTATTATCCTATAACACAACATGAATGAACCTTAAAACATTATGTTCAAGTGAAAAAAAAATCCAGACACAAAAAGATCACACATTAGGTATGATTCCAATTATATGAAATGTCTGGAATAGGCAAATCTAGAGCTAGAAAGATTAGTGGTTGCCTAGAAATGAAGTGGAGGAAGGAAATGGAATGACTGCTGATGGGTACTGGGTTTCTTTTTAGAGTGATAAAAATGTTCTAAAATTCATTGTGATTATGGTTATACAACTCTGAATACAAAAACTGAACTGTACTCTTTAAAAAAACACTAGTTTTATACTATGGAATTATAACTCAATAAAATTGTTATAAAGAACTGAAAAACCAAGAGATCCCTTTACTTTTTAATTTATCGAAAACTTTGAATTCCTTAAATTAAACTTTAAATTAATTGAACTTAATTACAATTATGACTTTAATCTTAAGTAAAATTTAAACCAAATAACAATTTCTAAACAAATACCTGTTTGCACACCAGTATCCTTCTTAGGAGAGTTCGTAGAACTGATACAGGGGTTCATTTTACCACTGACTTCATCCAAGCCATGTCTTGAATTTGAAATGGTGTTAGTAGATTCATTAAATTCCACTTGAACTGTATCAAATGGCAAGAGAAATGTTATGTGATAACATAATAGTTCAGGAATATTAATAGAAATTATGAATAGCAGTAACTATGTGCAAACCTTTAATTAGTATGAACAATGCAAAATAATTATGTTTCTAATAAAAAGTTACCTACATTATTGAATATAGGGAGACTACTCAATAGATGTCACCATAAAAATAGGTATAGAATAATCATTTTACCTATTGTGAGCAAAGTAAGAAAACATCAACCAAAGGACTTGTTTGCATCCATATAAGCCTAACCAGTGGTCATGGACAACAGGGGGGTGGGCATACGTGGGGGTTTGGAATGGGAATGGGGGGATGAGGACAATTATATGATACCATAATCAATAAAGAAATTAAAAAATAAAATAAAAAAGAAAACATATATGAAAAGTATATTATTATTTAGTTGTATTCTTAAGACAATTTCCCAAATAAAATATTATAAAGATACATCAGTTCAAGCTCTAAAATTCCTTTAAAAATATCTAGTTAATAGTTGTGTTAAAGGTATTAAAAACAGTTAATTATTTAAAGTCAACTTCAAAAAATATTACAAATAAAATTCTGTGTTTACCGCCAAGATTTTTAATCAATCTAGAAGTGTCATGTCCCTTTTGAGCCAATTCTCGGATTCTCTGTTCTTGTTTTAATCTCTGTGCCAGCTCCTGTGCTCTCTGCATTGTCTGGAAGAGTTCATTTGTCTTGAGAGTTATTATTTCCTATCAATATTAAAGTAAAAAAATGTATTAAATTACCAAATACATACAAACTTGAATATTCTCTCTCAGTAGATATTTTCTAAGCTCCTACTATGTACCCAGTTGTATTAAAGATACTAGTGGAAGAGTCAACAGAGAAAACTCCTTCCCTTTGGAAAATTACACTAATATTTTTTTTAAAGCAATCTTTAATTTTAGTAGATATAAAATGGCATTTCATTGTGGTTTTAATTTACATTTCACTGGTGACTAATGAGACAGAGCTACTTTTTAAATATTCACTGGCTGTTTTTCTTCTGTAAAGTGGTAAAGTACCTGTTCCAGACTTTTGCTCATTCTTTAATTGGATTTTTGTTGTTGATTTATACAAATAAAATTTTTATTTAAAAAAAAGTATTATTGATTTCAGAAAGGGAGAAAGAGAGCTAGAAACGTCAGTGAGAGAAATTACTGGTTGGCTGCCTCCCGCATGACCCATGGGGAATAGAGCCCACAATTCAGGCATATGCCTTGATGGGAACTGAACTGTGACCTCCTGGTTCATAGGTCAATGGCCAACCATTAAGCCACATTGGCCAGGCTATTTTTCAATTAGAGTGGCATACAATATTACTTTCAGGAGTACAGCATGGTACAATGGTTAGACATTTATATTCTTACAAAGTGATCGTACCAACAATTCTAGTAGTACCTACCCATCTGTACCACATAAGCATTACAATATTATTGACTATATTCCCTCTGCTGTACTTTACATCTCCATGACTGGTTTTATGACTGGCAATCTGCACATCTTACACCATTTCCTTTTTTCACCTAACCCTCCCCTCCATCTGCCAAACCATTAAAATAATCTCTGTATCTATGAGCCTATGTGTTGTTTATTTTGGTTTGTAGATTCCACATGCAAGTGAAATCATAGTATTTACTCACTCATTGACTCATTCATTTAGCATAATTCCCTCTACATCAATTCCATGTTGTTGGAGATGGCAAGATTCCATTTTTTGTGAGTTAGTAGTATTCACATTGTACATATGTACCACCTGTTTTACAAATTTATCTATCAATGGACACAGGTTAATTCCATATCTTGGCTGCTATAAATAATGTTGCAATGAACATAGGGATACATATGTCTTTTTGAATCTGTGTTTGGGGTTTCTTCAGATAAATACCCGTAAGTGGATTTGCTGGGTCCTTATTTGTCTCTTGCAATAGCCTTTCTTTTATAGTCTATTTTGTCTGATATAAATATTGCTACCCCAGTTTTTTTGCTATTTCTAGTGCATGAAATATATTTTTTCATCACTTTATTTTCAGTCTGTGTCTTTCTAGCTGAAGTGGGTGTCTTGTATATAGTGTATGTATGGGTCTTATTTTCTTAGCCATTCAGCAACCCTATTTCTTTCATTTGGAGCATTTGATTTTCATTTAAAGTAACTATTGGTATGTATGTAATTACTCATGTTGGTTTATTTGGGGTTTTGTTTGTTTGCTTTTGTCTTTTCAATTACAAATGTTCAATGTCCCTTGAACATTTCTTATAATACTGGTTTGATGATGAACTTCTCTAGCCTTTTCTAATCTGGCAAGCTAAATAATAGCTTTGCTAGATAAAGTAATCTTGGTTATGGGTCCTTGCTTTTCATCACTTTAAATATTTCATAACAATCCCTTCTGGCCTACTACAAGTTTTCTTTTGAGAAATCAGCTGATGATCTTGTGATAGCAACTTTGTAGGTAATTAACTGATTTTGTCTTGATTTTAAGGTTCTCTTTGTCTTAAACCTTTGGCATTTTAATTATGATGTGTCTTCGTATGGGCCTCTTTGGGTTCATCTTATTTAGAACTCTCAGTGCTTCCTGGGCTTGTATGTCTATATTCTTCAAGTTTGGAAAATTTTCCATCATTATTTCTTCAAATAGAATGTTAGTATGATTGAAATTGTCCCAGAGACCCCTTAATGTAGACTTTTGTTTTGTTTTGTTTTTTTTGTTGCTGTTCTGGATGGGTATTTTCTGCTACTTTATCTCCCAAATCTCTGCTTCATTTAATCTGTTGATTCTTTTCAGTCACTGAATTCTGCACATCTGATTGTCTCTTTTTTAAATTTTCTATCTCCATTTTTATGTTTCCTATATTTGTTGAAGCTCTGAGATAATCTACTTATTCTTGCCTGAATTTCATTGATCAGCCTTATAACCAGTGTTTTGAACTCTGCATCTGGTAGACTGCATGACTCCATTTTATGTAATTATTTTTCTGGTGTTTTGTTCTGTTCTTTCATTTGGGACATGGTTCTTAGTCTCCTCATTTTGCCGGCCTTCCTGTATTTGTTGCTATGTATTACGTAGCGCTGCTATGTTCCCCAGTCTTGGTACAGTGGCCTTATGTAATAGGTGTCCTATGGGACTGACTGGCTTAATCTATCTGGTCTACCTGGTCCTATGTGTAGGTTGTGTGTTCTGGGAAATTGACCCTCAGGTTGATTAGTTGTGAAGGCTGGCCTTGTGCAGGGATTTATCCTATGGAGTAGGATTCATTTCAACAAGGCTGTGGTGCCTGCAGAGTCTACCATTTTGGTATATACTTTGTGGAGGTGATTGGGTGGTACTCTGGTGTGGTCTGAAGCTGGCCACCTGGAATAAAATACAGAGCGATCTGAAGATGGTTGCCACTGAGGCTGGCTGGGCTTGGTGGTATGTGGGAGAGGCTAAGCTGTGACCAAGAGGCAAGCTGCCACTAGTGCCAGAGTTGGGGCTGCCTCGCCAGAGATACAGAACACAATGAGGCATGAGTTCCTTATCTGGAGTTTGTGAACCCTTGAGGTTTCAGGAGATAAGACAGGCTCTTTGTATGAAAAAGCTCCTGGAAGCAATTTGGTGGGCTCAAAAGTTGGGTGGGGCAGGATATCAGGGAATCAACAGATGGGATGATTGCTGTTAGCCAGAATGATGGATATTCAGATCTGGCATCACTTAAGCCTGCAGGCTGGGTGTGGGTTGGGCACAGTAAAGGAACAAAGGCTTCTACCAGCACTTCAGTCTAGAAGAAAGCTAAACATACAGCCCTTGGCCTGAAGCCAGACAATTCAATTCTATTCCATATGTCCCCTGAGCTTTTCAGATTGAGTGACTGTCAACAAGTAAGTCTGTGCATTCCAGGACAACTCCATCTTACTCCACAATTTCTGCTGGTTTTGAAGCCAAAATCATGGGACTTCTCTTCCTGGCAATGGAACCCCTAGGCTGAGGAGCCTGGTATGGAGCTGGGACTCCATGCTCCTCAGGAAGACCTCTGCAGCTGAGATATCCCTCTCAGTTTTTAACCACCACAATGCAGTTGTGGAAACAGCCAGATCCACATCTCTGTGCTTCCTACCAGTCTCCACCTGGCTTCTTCTGTATATCCTTAGTTATAAGACTTCTGTTCAGCTAGACTTCAAGTGATAATCAATGATAGCTGTTCTGCAATTTATTTGTAATTTGGATGTAATCTTGGGAGGAGATGAGCACATTTACCTACTCCAACATCTTGACCAGAAATCTTTTATCTACAGCTTTGTTAGACCACAAATATAAGAATTTATAATAATAAAGCTTTCAAAGTTTCTAAACCAATGGTCAATTTCACCAGAATTCTATTAAGATTAAAAATAGATTACTAAGAGGTAAAATATAAATTTTATGGGCATTTATTGCAATACAAGCAAATGATACTTTGATTTTTTTTCATGTATATAATTATATATGAAAAAACAATATATAGTTAACTATACATAGTTATTTCATAGTATAATAGTTGACTCAGCCTATTCAACATAATGAAATCAGAACCCAAACCATGTGGCTCTTCATTAATTTTGAAGGTTGCAAGTGCAAAAAGCAAGGAAATGTTGGCTTTTGGCCCCATAGGAAGAGCTCCATATTCTACTTTGTAAACCTAAAGAATCTTTGGTAATTCATGTCAATATATGACTTGTTCTTTGTCAATTCAACTTGACACCACCATATCTATACTATCTGTACCATTTAATATAGTGATTCTCCTAGCCAATCAGATATCTACTCTTTTTATCTTCATTCATTCATTTATTGGATATCTATTCTTTTTAAAAGACCCTTAATCAGTTCCTGTCAATTACTCTCTCTATATATGCTCCTATTCACCTGAGACACAGACAGAAAGGCCATTCTGTTAACATTTCTAGAACATTTATTAATCCTACCTAATAAAATAATATGCAAATTAACCACCACTCTACTACACCCACAAGCCACACCCACCAGCCAATCAGAGCCAGTATGCAAATAAACCCAACCAAGATGGCAACAGCCACAGAGAGCTGGAGGGAGGCTTGGGTTTCCCAGGCAATGGAGGAAGCCAAACTTTCCGCCTGCTCTTGCCGGCCTAGGCCTCCACTCAAGGCTACAAAGTTTCAATTATAAAAGTTTCAATTATAAATCCAAACAGAAATGGCAGCAGCCACGGAGCTGGAAAGAACAGGAGGCTAGGGTTGCCCCTGGCAATGGAGGAAGCAAAGCTTTCTGCACACCCTGGCAGGCCCAGGCCTCTACTCCAGGCTATAAAGTTTCAATTATAGAAGATAAATAAATTCCAACAGAAATGGCTGCCGGCCATGGAGCCAGCAGGTGGCTTAGCTCCACTCCAGGCTACAAAGTTTCAATTGTGGAAGGTAAATTCCAGATACCAGGGCCTCCGCTTGGGTCGCCAGGAGGTGTGGCCAGCCTGCAAACCACCACAGGCCCCTCGCCCAGGCTGCCCCATGCCTCAAGGGAACCCCCACCCTGATCTGGGACATCCTTCAGGGAAAATCAGCTGGCCCCCACCTGTACCCCAGGCCTTTATCCTATCTAATAAAAAAGTAATATGCAGATTGACTATCACTCCAACCCACAATATGGCTGCCCCCATGTGGACACAAGATGGCCAGCAATTGAGGGCAGTTGGGGAGGCACCAGGCCTGCAAGGGAGGGCAGTTGAGAGGGACCAGACCTACAAGGGAGGGTAGTTGGAGGCGATCAACCCTGCAGGGGAGGGCAGTTAGGGGTGACAAGGATGACAGAGGAGGGAAGTTGGGGGCAAACAGGCTAGAAGGGGAGCAGATAGACATCAATCAGGCTGGCATGGGAATGGTTAGGGGGTGATCAGGCTGGCAGGCAGAAGCAGAGGCAATCAGGAAGGCAGGAAGGCGAGCAGTTGGAAGCCAGCAGTCTTGGATTGTGAGAAGGATGTCCTACTGCCCGTTTAAGCCCGAACCCCTGGGGTTGGGCCTAAACGGGCAGTAAGACATCCCTCGAGGGGTCCCAGATTGGAGAGGGTGCAGGCTGGGCTGAGACAAACCTCCCCCAAACTCCCTTGCATGAATATCGTGCATGGGGCCTTTAGTATATTAATAATTGCTTTGAAAAAATTTTAAGATCAAACAAACACATGGATAACTTTTTTGTGCTATAACAACTCATCTTGACTTCCTTCTTAGCAGAGGAAAAAAAAACAAGCAATATAGCATTTGTGAACTAATCACTAATCATTTGAAATAAAACCTTCTCCAGAATCCTCAACTTTTATAACTTTTTTAATGCAAAGCTTTAATGTCTCCCCATAAAGCTTCAAAATTTCAAAATTCATGAAAATGTTCAACTTTTGGTTATTTTTACTTTAAGAGCACATTCACTTTTACTCTAAAATATTTCAGTTAGAATATAAATACCTACTTCCTTTTGTTTTTGCTTAAGTATGTCTTCTTCATACTGTTTCTGCATCTCTTCTCGTTCCCGTGCTAAGCGAAGCTCCTCTTCTTGTTCTTCCTTCTTTCTTTGCTCTTCTTGCAACTGCTTCTTCCTACGCTTTTCTTCTACCTGAGCAGTGATGGCTTTCTAGATATAAACAGTCATATAAATCCCTGTCACAAACTTAAAAAACCCAGGATGCATTTGTTTTGGTGTTTTTAAACCAAATACCAAAACAAATAAGTTTATCAGTACACAGAAATTCTCATCCTGATAGAATTAAGGAGAACTAAAAATATTCAATATTAACTTAAAATTTAGTACCATTTAATATATGCAATCTATATATTAAAAATCTTTGAAAATATTATGAGAAGTGAAATAAGCCAATCTGAGAAAGACAACTATCACATAATCGCACTTATCTGTGGAATCTAATGAACAAAATGAACTGATCAACAAAATAAGACCCAAAGAGAAGAGATAAACCAAAAAATTATATAATAATTACTAATAACCCAGTGCATCAATTTGTGCACCCTGAAAGGAAATTTATCAGAAGAAATATTTTAATATTGCTATTTGTCTTTTATAATAGAAGTGCCAAATTCACAATCAACAATGATAGATTGAAACACACATGCGACTGGCGCCAGCCAAGAGCTTTATCTGTATCATGCATGCAAGAGTAAACTTAAGCCTTTTATATATATATATATATATATATATATATATATATATATATATATGTATATAATGAACTTGCTTCATTAAACCAGCTTTCTGATTTAGCTAAACTTTTCCAGCTCAGTGAAGCACCCCAACTTCTCTTTCAAGTAACTGTTGGCAACACAGCAGTAAATATCAACACAAAGCAGATTATTAATATTATTGTAGATCACACAGGGAGAACAAAGGGCAAAATATTAACTGCAGCAATGTTTGACTATATTCTGCGCAATGAGAAAACCTGAAGTAATTTTCAAGGTCCACCATTTCTTATTTCAAGTTTCTAAGCTTTCTAAATCTCCATTTTCTGGCTAATGAAAATAGAATTACACTGTGTCTCCTATCTATCCACTTCTGTGAGGATCAAATGAGATGAGGCACATGAAAATGCTTCACAGAGATTTGGTTAAAGTGTAAAAAGTTTCCACCTGGCTATTAAGCAAGTTGTGTTCCTGAGCTAAAAAAACTGCAAGGAGGCTAGTCGCTAGGGATAGGAAGCTGGGATTGCTACATGACATCATTATCTGGTGCCCACAGCGACTATTTTCGGGCTGGGCTGGGCTGTGGGCTGCATTTTGTACCATTGAGTCTCAGTGTCAGCTGCGATTTGGTGGTGTCACTCCAGGGTGGTGGCAGGGCCTGTGTTTCACTTGGAGGAAACCAAGGGTTTATTGCTTTGTAAGCACCAAATGGCCTGTCACTAGGGAGAGGAAGCTTGGTATTGCTACATAACATCACTACCCAGTGCCAACAGCCACCATTTCCAGGCTGGGCTGAGCTCTGGACTGCATTTTGTGCCATGGGGTTGTGGCAGCATTGGCTGCGATTTTTGGGGCTGTTGCTCGGGGGGGGGGGGGGGGCCAGGGGGGAGGGCTTGTGTCTCACTTGGGGGAAGCCAAGTATTGCTTTGTTGGCACCAGGTCCACAGTGCTGTCTTTTTGTAAATGGCCAGTGTACATCACAGCAGCTCCTGTGTTGAGCATCTACTCCCTGGTAGTCAGTGCACATCATAGTTGGAGGGAGTCTTAGCATATTAGCCTTTTATAGATATGGATATGCATGAACACAGGCAATAGGGTAGTGAAGACCTAGTGGGGAGGGACAGGAAGGAGGAAAATGGGAGATATCTGTAATACTATCGTTAATAAAATATATATTAAAAATAAATAAATAAATAAATCTGAAAGCTTTTCTCCGCTTTTTTTTTAATTTTTACTAAAATATATATTTTATTGATTTTTTACAGAGAGGAAGAGAGAGGGATAGAGAGAAACATTGATGAGAATCATCGATTAGCTGCCTCTTGCACACCCCCCACTGAGGATGTGCCCGCAACCAAGGTATGTTCCCTTGACCGGAATCGAACCTGGGACCCTTCAGTCCGCAAGCCAACACTCTATCCATTGAGCCAAACTGGTTTCGTCTTTTCTCCTGCTTAAAAAAAATCTTCCCTTCCTGCCAGCCGGTATAGTTCAGTTGGTTGAGCATCATCCCATATACTAAGAGGATACTGTTTTTCCCCCCAGTAATGGCAGATGCCCTGGATGCGGGCTCAATCCCCAGTAGAAGACATATATGAGGCAGCCTATCGATATTTCCCTCCCTCCATCTTCCTCTGTCTCTGACATCAATAAAAACATATTTTTTAAAATCTTCTCTTCTGGAGAGCAGGTAGCTGTATTATGAGATACCGATTCTCAGCATTTTGAGTATAAACCTAATATAATGCCAGTTGGGAGTAAAGGATTAGATTGATCAAGGGATTGAACAAGGCCAATGCTGTAATTTTATAATAAATTTTTAATTTCCATTTATTTAGGTTATCTATTGGTCATAAATAAGGCAAAGAACCAATGCTTTACAAAGCAATACCTGATGTTCTAACTGTTTTTGTCGCCGCCTGTCTCTTTCTTCAATCTGAGCTGGGTCCAAGAGAGCAGTCATAGAACGGAGAAAGCTGGCAAGATAGATACATTAGCTATTTAAAACCATCAAAATATAGATTTAATGAGATACTAAATCATTTTTGTTTGGAATATATCTATAATCATTTCTATTTTACAGAAAAATATCAAACCTGAAATAGAATATATATAAACTGATATACTATAAATATAATAAGTCCTAAAAAAGCACACTTTTTAAAACATCAATAAATATTGAAGTATAAACTTACTTTGTTTTTTGACTGCTTGGGATTGCCGCATCTCTAAAAGGTTTTGTTATACACTCCTCTTCTAACGGTTCAATCTGGCTTCCAGTTGTAGGTGTATGAACACTGCTGATGTCAGCCAGCTCCTGAGGGTCCGGAGAGATACAGAAGTACTCTGGTTGTTTGTATGTTGACCGAGAGGACAACTGAGACTGAGAATTAAAATGCATTGCCCATCTGTCATGTTCTTCATCCTAATCATGACAAATAAGAATTGCTAAGAATGTTTCCAATTGTTCTCACATATAAAATCTTAAATGACAATCAAACATAATTTCTAAGTCACCACACAGCAGAATAAGCATCATAAAAATTAACAAAGCTGCCTATTGTATTTATTCCATATACATTTAGATAAATAGCTTGGAGAATAAAAGAAATTCAAAGAAGTAGGAAATTTCTAAAAAGTTACAAAAAACTATGCAAAAAGCATTAATAAATTCATCAATGAAAGCATCACAAGAATAAATGTGGAATAATTCATATAATCTAGTCTTGTCAAATAGTTACAGAATAGCCTTAAGATTAAAAACTTTGAAATTCACTGTCAAAATGGCTAGCATCAATAAATCAACAAACAACAAATATTGGTGAGGATATGGGGAAAAGGGAACCCTGTGCCCTATGGAAAAGTATGGAGGTTCCTCAAAAAATTAAAAACACAACTATCTTATAACCCAGCAATTCCACTTCTGCGTTTTTATCTGAAGAAATCAAAAATACTAATTCAGAAAGATACATGCATCCCTTTGTTCACTGTTGCATTAGGTACAATAGAGCAGATATGGAAGCAACCTAAATGTCCATCAACAAACAATTGGGTAAAGATGGTGTGGTACATAAATACAATAGGACAATAATCAGCCATAAAAAAAATATTTTACCATTTGCAACAATATGGATAAACCTAGAAGGTATTATGCTAAGTAAATTAAGTCAGACAGACAAAGAAAAATACATGATTTCACTTATAGATGAAATATTTAAAAAAAAAATAATTTTTATTGATTTCAGAGAGGAAAGGAGAGGAAGAGAGAAACATCAATGATGAAAGTCATTGTTTGGCTGCCTCTTGCATGCCCCATACTGGGTATTAAGCCCACAAACAGGGCATGTGCCTAGACCAGGAATCGAACGCTGAACCCCTGGTTCATAGGTCAGTGCTCAACCACTGAACCACACCAGTCAGGCTGCGGAATCTTAAAAATAATAAAATTAAATAAATAAAATAATAATAAAATAAAATAAAATAAAAGCCCAGATTGGCTCAGTGGATAGAGCATTGGTTTGCAGATGGAAGGGCCCAGGGTTCAATTCCAGTCAAGGACATGTACTTCGGCTGCAGGCACCTCCCTGGCCTACTTGGAGGTGTGTGTGGGAGACAACCAATCAATTTGTCTCTCTCACAATAATATATCTGTGTCTTTCCCACTTCCTTCCACTCTTGATCTAAAAAACAAACAAACAAACAAACAAACAAAATCAATGGAGAGAATATCCTTTGGTGAGAATTGACAAAAATAAAAAACAAAACAGCAATGAACTCACAGATTCAGAGAATAAGCTGACAGTTGCCAGATGGAAGATTTGGTTGGGAGCTCAGTGAAAAAGATAAAGGGATTAATAAGTACAAATTGGCAGATACAAAATAGTCACAGGGATGTAAAAGACAACATAGGGAATGTGCTAGTATTCAATCTACAATAATCTACAATAATAAAAACATAATATGCTAATTAGACCAGACATCCTTTCGGCAAAACCCAGGTGCCTGCTGGTGACTGGAAGGAAGCCTGGGTCCTGGGTGCCAGAGGGAAGCCGGTGCCGATAGCTGGGGGAAGGAAGGCCTGCTCTTGCAGAATTTCGTGCATTGGACCTCTAGTAATATAACAACTATGCATGGTGCTAGGTGGTACTACACTTATGGCAAAGGAGAATCACTTCACGAATTATATAAATGTCTAACCACTATGCTTACACCTGAAACTAATATAATGCTGAATGTCAACTGTAATACAATAGAAAAAAAATTTTCACTTTGAAATTTTTTTCATTTATATCCATAAAACTTTGTAAGCTACCTTTAAAGATACATTTTTTTCTTCTGTTTTTCTTTGCCCATCATCTTGTATTTGTTTGTTCAACTCTTCAATCCATTTGCTCTGCTGTTCCTGTTTCACACTACTGAAAGGGTGCTCTGGCAGTAATGCTTCCTAAATAAAGTTATCAATAAAATTTAAAATACAGGTTTTTTCCCTAGCCACTTTATATTTACAAATCTTAACCAAAGTTTACATAGATTTAATAAATTTATTTTTAAGAACAGAAATAATTTTAAACAAAAAAGTCTAGTATATTAGTAGATATTGATGATTTTTTTTTTATCTATCTCTAATGAAAAAATAGAAAATTCTCCAAAGCAATGATATCGAGTTTCCAAAATTCTAAGCTAAAGTAGTCTCACTGAGATTTGGAAAGGAGTTACACTGACAATTTAAAATAGACGAATACTACAGTTGGCTTCAAAATACAAAAAAATACTGGACCCAGAGCCAGGAGGCTAGAAGACCAACTTCCTCTATTGAAGAGTAACGTCTTTTTCTCGGATACTCTTCTTTTCCATTTCTGCTATTACAGCCTTATCGCCATCTATGTCGTTTCAATAAGGAAAATATATTGTGCCCTGACTGATGTGGCTCAGTTGGCTGAGTGTCATTCCGTGCACCGGAAGGTCATTGGTTCAATGCCAGTTAGGGCACATACCCAAATTGTGGGTTTGATGCCTGGCTGGGGTACATAGAGGACACAACCAATCAATGTTTCTCTCTCACATTGATGTTTCTCTCTCTCTCCCTCTTTCCCTCCCACTCTCAAAAAAAATCAATAAAAATTAAAAAGTGAAATTATCAAAAAACTTACAGTGTCCAGATTAAGTTTTTAATTCTAAGAAAGCAAAAAACAAAAGAGTACTATAAAAATTTGTTGCTTTACCTTATGAGAGTGTAGTATGCTCCAACAAAAAGAAAAAAATGTACTGTATTCTACTCAAATTGCCTTAAATGCAACAGCTAAGCAACAAGCATTTTGTTATGTGAAATAACGGCAAGATATAATTCTAAATAGTTTGACAGAGTACAATGGCAATATACCTCCAAATGTTACTCTCTGCCTTTGTTTATACCAGAAACAAAGACAAAAGCTCATAATTTACAAACAATTACTTTCATCAAAGGAAATATTTATACAAAAAGAAAATCTTTTGATCTCTCAGGTACGCCTACATATTGTTAACAGATTAAAATAAAACCATCATATTTATTTAAGCCTAAAACAGAAACTTCAAAAGGAAGATTATCCTTAGGTAAGTGATTCAACAAGTCTTCTATCTCTAGAAATGTTATTTTAGAGGTCAAAATGGAAAAGAAAAACATATGGGCCCTTTGAATTCTTTGTAAGAAATTCTCAACACTGGCACTGTATCTTCTTAGAATTCTGTAATCATTTTCTGAAATCTGATGTAACCAGATCTGGTTTCAAATTTCAATAGAGATACAAATTATTTAGCACAAATCAAAAATATCTTGAAAATTCCTAAAATTGCTAAAAAAAAAAAAAAAAAAGAAAAAGTCTTATACCCATATATTTACACAACCAAGTGGGAAGTTTAACCCTTTGCACTCCGCTGTCCCCTCTCAGGGGACATTGCAGTTTATTAGCGATTACGGGGAATTGGGTTAATTCAACGCACGTGTCCGCCGCAAAGTACCGTCGAGTAGCTGGTAGCCAATGTCCAGAATGGTTCGGAGTGCAAAGGGTTAATAATCAGCTCTCTCAATTAAGTCTTCTATTTTTTATTTATTTTTTTTAAGAAAGAGAAAAACATGGATAGTTTGCCTCCCACACACACCTCAACAGGGATCTAACCCTTGCTACCTTTTGGATGGGATGATGCTCCAACCAAGTGAGCACACTGCTCAGAGCAGTCTTTCATTTCTTATTTATGGATGTTTACAAAGCCATTACCACTCACTTGCCTACCACCTGAATAATTCATTTCAGTTGAAATCTCTTTTTCCTTTGTTTCTCTTATTTAAAAAAATTTGTCAAACTTTCCACATTCTGATGATAGTTTGCATGATTAATAAGCAGCTTTTTCATAAAATGCTTGGAGGGGAATGAGTTCTCAACCTGTATAATCTGACCATCCCATTGACTTTGAAGTTTCTCTTGAATTAAAAAAAAAAAAAAAAAAAAAAAAAAAGTGGGGGAAAGATTGGGGGGAGGAAAGAAGGAACATGCTAGAAACCAAAGGAAACATTTCTCATGACAGCCATCCAAAACTGGGGGGGGGGGGGGGGGGGGGGGGGGAACAAAACACCCACACACACACACACACACAAACACAACACCTCTAAAAACAAAACCAACTCACGAACTCCACTTTTTCCATTTTACAACTTTCTATACCTCACTCTTTTTAAGAAATATGTTTTTACTGATTTCAGAGAAGAAGGGACAGGGAGATAGAAACATGAGTGAGAGAATCGTTGATCAGCTGTCCCCTGTACACCCCATCCTGGGGATCAAGCCACAGCCCTGGCATGTGCCCTGACAAGGAATGGAACCGTGACCTCCTGTTCATAGGTCAATGCTCAACCACTGAGTAATGCTGGCCAGGCCTACACTTCACTCTTGATTTTAGCCTTTCTGGCTGAAACAGCTTCCCAGCCCTGCCTCTTCCAGACAGTAGGATGTGGTGATTCAATTCCCCTCACCCCTCAGGCTTGGTGGAGTCCAGAGAACTGATGATGTTGGGGGGGGAAAAAATGGGGGGTGGATGGGGGAATGGCACTGGAAGATGAGAAGGAAAATGGTGAGGAACTGGGTTTAGTGAGAGCATATATATTTTTGTTAACATAGCCAGCACAGGCAAGCAAGGCTAGTTGTCTGCTATTTCAGGTTGGTAGATTTTCCCAGGAATTCTCCCCCCACGGATCATCTAAGCCCAGAAACCTTCTTGCCAACCTCACACGTCTGTTACTTCTCTTTGTCTACTACCTTCAGGCTATGTGGGGAAGACCTCTTCCCCCAGCCACCACCCCGAAATAAAATTAACACTTAAAATTAACAAAAGTCACACTTGGTGAGCATTAGTTTGAATTAGGAAAATAGCAAATATTGTTAGGTCTGATCAAATAATTGAATCAATAACCCTTACCCTGGGAACTGACCTTTATGCCACTTCACAATGGATATTCCACTTGCTTAGACCACATTACACTTGCTAATACCATTCTCCCCTCTGGAGTTTCCCAGAATCTGGACCTGCACAGAGAATTCTCTACCAAGAAAAAGTCAACCAAGATTCCTTTAAAAACTTCTGACTCCACCCCATCTTTGGGGGCTGATGCTATTTTAGGGCTCAGCCCATCTGGGTTTCCATATGACTAATAAATTCATAATTCTTTACCCCTTTTGGCCTCATGCATTCCTCCTTCGGCGATCCTAACATTTGGTGCTGAAACCTGGAAGGGTTCCACTGCGATGGGGAACCATCATCCCGGCTTTGATCATCCTGAGTTTGGTACTCGGGGAGCAGTAGGCAGCAGCAGCTTGACCTGGGCTTAACTCTGAATCCTACTCAGGTGACTCAATTGCAAGTCTCAATTAGGCCTCTCTCCCTTATGGACCCTCTCAAACCAGCCAAGAAGGATGCTGGATCCAGAATCTCTCCTTCTCCATTGCTGTCCCTCCATCCCACACCAGCCAATCTTCTCTAGGTGACTGATGTTCCATAATTTCCCTTGTCTCAAGTCTTCTGCCCCATCTCGCTCACTGACTTTATCAAAAGTCTCTTGTCTCAAAAGTCCTAGCACTAGACCAGAAGTCTCCTGAGCCATTTGGCTTTGGGTCCTTCTAGGCTGGGGATGCCCAGTCCAGAAAGTCACCTCTCATTTCGCATGGTGATTTGTTTAGCAGTGGGACGCCAGGCCTAAACAGTCACCTTTGGATTTGTGGTCTATCATACCTTCCTCTCTCCTGAGCCACACTAACACTCCTGCACACTCACGAGCGAGATCATGCCCAACCAGCATTTTATTTTGTAACACTGTTTGGCCACAATATAAACTAGATAAAAGTCTCAACCGGCACTTTCAATTTTAACACATTGGGCAGTTTTAACACATTGCAGTAACTGCTGTCACTGCAATGGAAAATAGTCAGAGATTCCCTATGTCCAAGCCTTTTACACCCTTCAGTCCCAATCCTCTCTCAGTCCTGCTCTACCCATCAGATCTTTCTCCTTCACACAAAACATCATACCCCTGACACTTCTATTCTGAATATACTTTTGACCCAGCAGACCACCAATCTCTACCCCCTTACACATCCTCTCCCTCACCTGCAGTTGATCCCCAAAACCCTGTCCCTCCTAACTAGCAACCACCTTTCCCCTCAGCCCCTGAGAGCCCAAGTTCCAAGAATGCAAGCTCCAAAACAGTCTTTCCTAACTAACACTTGCTCTCAGGCCCAAATTCCCAAAGACCACCCTCCTCAACAGCCTCTTATGACAGAATTAATGAAATCACTCAAAGCCCTGACAAAAACCCAGCTCTCTCTTTCTTCCACCTCATGGAGGCCTTACAGAAATATACCACCTTAGACTCCACCTCCCCAGAGGGAACCCTTGTTCTAAACACCCATTTTATATCCCGATCAGCCCTGACATACAGCATAAACTTCAAAAAAATAGACATAGGTCCACAAACCCCTCAAAAAGACTTCATTATCCTGGCTTTTAAGGTTTTTAATAATAGAGACGAGGAGACTCAAATCAAAAAACAGAGGCGAAATCAGGCCAAGGCTGAGGCCCAGACGAAGGCCTTTCAGCTCCTAGCCACCGCTCTCACGAACCCCAAATGAAGTGCTGGTCCTCCAACCAAGGGTTAGTCAGGGGCTAAGCCTCTTCTGGGCCCATGCTTTAAATGCAACAAGGACGGACACTGAATCAAGTCCTGCCCAAGCCCTAGACCCCCACCTGGGCCTTGCCCAAGGTGAAGAAAGGAAGGCCACTTTCCAGACTATAATCTGGCCCCTCCAGGTTGGACCTCAGCAAGGCCACCCCCTGGATCTGGTTTGGAGCTCCCAGACCTCCTGGGACTGGCCACTGAAGACTTAAGCTGCCCAGGTCCTGACAAGGCCCCACAGACTTACATCACCAGGACAGAGCCTCGGGTAATGACTGCGGTGGCAGGTAAGCCAATCTTGTTTTAATTTACACAGAGGAAGCTCACTTATTCTGCCCTCTCCAAATTTGATGGGACCCTTGTCTACTTCTCGGTCTCTATTACGGGGGTTGACAGAATAGCCTGTCATTAGCCACCTCACCTCTACACTGCATCTTACTAAATACCCCCATTCACTCTTTTCTCATTCTACCTCGGAGTCTGGCCAGGGCTACCACGCATCCCCTCATAAAACTCAATTGTCCCAAATGTCAGTCACCTACCTCAGTTTTACTCTCACCCCACAAAGCCACGCCATTCCTTAGAATATAAAGGCCTATCTCCTAAATGACTGTCCCCTCCTCTAAACAGGAAATACTCTCTCAGGCTCGCTGGTATTCTCTCCTCTGAGTTCCTAACTACAGTCTTCTTGCAAAGCTCCTCTTTGACATGACATGGCGAAGAGATCCCCTCATTGAGCCTTTAGATTCCAAGGCCAGCCCTCTCACCCTTTAATGCTCTGAAAACTGCTCTGACCTAAGCACCTTCTCACCCCCTCTTCCCAAAGAACAGCTATCTTTACTACAAACTGCAAACGCTTACTTAACAGTCCTGCTGAACTCATTATCACCCAAACCTTAGCATGTTTTATCTCTAAGGGAAAATGTGGCAGTTTTAAATCCAAGCTGCTAGAAGCCTGGAAACTGCAGTCCTAGAAGAGGCTACTGGGCTTGCTCTCTCCTCCCCCCGTCTTTTCCCCAGTCTCAAATACCTATACATAATTTTCCAAAGTCTTGATAACTTAAAGTCTTTGAAGGATGGCTGGGTTAAATGATAAACATCTAAATATTTTTAAATACATAAATACTGAAGCACTGATTGCTAGACAAGTTTTAATTCACCTGCCCTTAGTTTTTATTACAGAAGATCTCTTGTACTTTGTTGAATGTATTTTCTTGAAAGTAAGGGTGTGTTTAAAGTGTGTTCATAAATGTATATGCTAGCTGTTTACTTTTTGGCTAAAGCTGGTTATTTGTGAATAGGTAGGTTTGTGTTGTCCATTAAGTCAGGACTGATCACCTCTGATGTCCAAAGGGACCCCTTCTCCCCTAGTAAGCTAAAGCAGCCCAACCCAGGCTATCTCCTGTTGCTTATGCCCTTGTATCTAATCCCAGACTTTATTTCCACCGCTCATTCACAGTCCTTGACACTATCACTGAAAGCCTCAATAGGCCTTTCTGCTTGATATTTAGGAACCTCTCTCCCCTTTTCTAGCCTTCTTAAAAATCATACACTTCAAAGGACACCAAGTCAGGAATGAATCTGTAATACAGGCAAACAACAAAGCAGACCAGGAAGCCAAGGCAGTGGCTCAGAGGAAGCCCACCATCTCCCCAGCTATTAGCTATACCTCATATAACACCCTAACACACTCCAGAGGAATTTAGTCCTATTAGTTCTTGGGGCCATTTAGGAAGGCCCATGGTTAAAACTTCAGGGAAGATACATCCTTTCCTAGGGACAGGCCCACAATATCTTACGGGCTATTCACAATTCCCTACATGTAGGAAAGACTGCTTTTACAACTCCTTAACCCCCTCATCCCATGACTTAGCCTAGCCTCCCTACTGCAAGATATCACCAAAACTTGTTCTACTTGTTACTCAGTATCTCCCCAAGGACAGGTTAGACCTCCTCCTTTCCCCACTCACAGTCAAGGGGCCAAATCCCTGGACAAGACTGGAAAATGGATTTCACTTGCATGCCACCTATTAAAAGAACCAAATTATCTTTTAACCCAGTCTCAGGCTGGTAGAACCCATTACTCACTACGTCTGATCTACCTCATTACAATTAGATAACGGACCTACTTTCATATCTCAAATGACTCAACAGGTCTCCTCCACTCTGAAAATCCAGTGGAACTTACACCCACTTTCCCCACCAGCCCCAATCTTCAAGCAAGGTAGAAAAGGCAAATTCCTTAATTAAGGACTTAACTCTCAAAACTAAAGAACCTTAGCTGGGACCGTTTTGGCTCAGTGGATAGAATGTCGGCCCTGCGGACTGAAAGGTCCCGGGTTCGATTCTGGTTGAGGGCATGTACCTTGTTTGTAGGCACATCCCCAGTAGGGGGTGTGCAGGAGGCAGGTGATCGATGATTCTCTCTCATCGATGTTTCTAACTCTCTATCCCTCTCTCTTCCTCTCTGTGAAAAAAATCAATAAAATATATTTAAAAAATAAAATAAAATAAAATAAAATAAAAAAACCTAAAGAATCTTAAACTACTCTCCTACCTCTAGCCCTCATGCACAATCCCCCCATGCACCCGCCTTTCTTAGTCCCTTTGAACTCATGTATGGAAGACCCTTCTTATTGGGAAACTTCCCTTCCATAGAGATCCCTCTCAGAGACTAAGTCTCCATTTTAAATCTCATCATACAGTTACTGAAGAACATGCTGATCAGGTCTTCCCTCTACTTTTACAGAAGACATCCCCCCTTCTCCTCCTAAAGGGATCCACCAATAATTTACAGCCCTAATGCAAGGCTCTTATCAGATACTCTTATCTGCCCCAATTGCAGCTAAACTATCAGGGCATACTCCATGATTCTCCCTTTCCAGATTAAAACCCATCCCTGGAAAACCTCAATCACATGAGCTGGAGTCCCCTAACATTTTTTAAATTTAAAGAGCACAATGTACTCAGTAAATATTAACTGGTAATTAAAAATACTTACATTCACTACTTCAAGGAAAACAGGTTAGTGATCAAGTACTAAAACCCATAATTATTCAAAGTAATGACACTTAGGACTTACCTCTAAAATCTGACTAGCTCTAGATGATGAGTGACCATCAGCCTGGACCACTGTTACCTGACTGGGAGACTGGGACAGAATTCTGGAAACGCTAGCAGAAGTCTAAAAACAAATAGAAAAACAAAGGCACATTTTCTTCCTCTCATATCAAACACAGGCAAAATTTAAAGTTCACCTGAGGGACACCTGGTATGTATTTGTTTGATTTGATAAACTTATAGTGAATACCACACAGTCAGTGGTAGAATTCTGTGAACACCTAAAAATTGTAGTTCTTTATAGAGTCTAAAGATGGAGCCTAAAGGCTGATACCTACTAACATAGTAAGATAATTTACAGAATGCTAACAGAGACTAGTTGAGATTATAATTAAATTCAAAATAAGTGTTCTCAAATAGCATCTAAAAAAATAAGGTTTTTTTTAAATATCCTTTAAAAATATTAAGTAGAAATATATACATATTTTTAATAAATATGTCAGGGGGAGGCAGGACTGGGTGAAAGGGGGTAAAGGAATTAGCCAAAGAACAAATATGCATAGCTCATGGACAAAGAAACAATAAGGTGATGGCCAGAGGGAAGAGGTGGAAAATGAGGACATTTGTAATAGTATAAACAATAAAAACAAAGTAAAAAAACAATGAAGTGTGCCTTCAGTAATATAAATATGCTTTAAAAATAAATTTATGATCTGAACATGACTTAGCATTACAAAATTTCAATTAAGATGTCTTATATTCCATAAATGATTTTGATACTCTTACCTTTGACTGGTCAAGAATTCTTACTTTTTCCCATACTAATTTATCACTTTCAGATTTTTCCCAAGTATTATTCCATTTTTCTGGAGTTTCTTTTTCTTTCTTCTTTAAAGCAACCTGTTCATCTGGAAATAATGTCCTTTTTAAAAAAATGTACAATAACTGTAAAAAAAAAATCATGTAAACAAATCATGACCTTCTTAAAGAGTGCAGATTCCAACACAGATTAAAATTGTTTTGAATGGAGGAGATTAACTCACAAGAGAAAAAATTTAAGGGAGATGGAATAAAACATTTAATCAGAACCAAATTTAAGCATGGCACAAATGGATGTAATAATGTCTACTACAATTATCAATAAAGAGATTTTTTCAGGACAACATAGTTTATATTATGCTAATTATTCTTAAGTTCTACTTTCCTGAAATGTTCAGTCAATTATTAGTAAGATACATAAAAGTAACAACTCTGGATTCAGAGAATCCTTGGGATCAAATCCAAGTTCAACTATTTCCCCATTATATATCTATGGACAAATTACTGTTCACTTCTCTAAACCTGATTGTTCTTCTGAAAAAAGAGAGTAATAACAGTGCCTATTTCAGTACAGGGCCTGGCACAAAATAAATATTTAATAAATGTCAGCATTATTCATAACTGTGAAAAGAGTAAAAAATATAAAATCTTGTGCTAACAAAACAATATAAATAAACAAGGCCCCAAATCAATAGTTCTTAAAATGTCAAAGATATATAAATTTAAATTCCAAGAAAATTAATGAAAGCATAGCTTTAACAAAAAAGATGTGATTTTCTAACAGTATCAAGTAAAAGAAAATTGTATTTTTAAAGATAAAAATTAAAGCATAAAACACTTTCGACATTTCCAAGTAGTTCCATATCTTACCTCAGAAGTTTTGTACTGTATTTTGATAAGCTGGATTTTATTTAAAGCTGAAATTATGCTATAAACATAGATCAGATCTCCAAATCTCTTGATACTGCTACCATATATTTAATTTCTTCATTCTTCTGTTACCATCACTTCCAATATCAATTCATTCCCTAATTCTTCTGCTTATCTGTTTTTCTACATCACCATCCTGTATCAGCATGACTGCCTTACAGGAAGGAGGGTGAAGCTCATCTTCAAGCTCTTAGTACAGCTATTTCTAAAAAGTATTGTACAACTCTTACTTCATGTATTTTCCAAACTATGGACTACAAGTCTAGTCCAAGAAGTAATGGGAGTTTCTTAGTTATTATCAATATTTTAAGACCCTAACAAAAATTATAAATATTTCTGTTAGTATACAGTTTATACAGGCTGACAAAAAGCAATAAGCTTGTTTTTGTGTAGAATACACTAATTGATATCATATTGATAATTCTTCATTAGAACATTTTAATTATTTTTAAAAATTAACTCAATTATTTTTAAATAAAACCATCTTTAAACCAACAGGATTTCTATAATGGAAAAATATGATAATGGATTTTCAAGAAATGAGAAAAGTTTAGGAATCTTTGAGATCCAGGAGCTCTGGAATGACACTGATGACATCAATGCTCACCTCTGGCTTTTGGTACACACCAAAACAAAGGTACAGCCTAAGTGCATGTGAAACCACAATCTTTTTATACATTTACAGAGAACTCCTCTAAATGGCAAATGTTATAAAACTTTTGATAATATTATACTGAAGGATCTATTTCATCCTTAATAAATATTCTGTAAGCCAACCAAACTATTAATAAAATAATAGGTGTTAATAATTACCAAGCTCTTTCCTCCACTGGGCTTTTTTTGCTTCCAACAAATTTCTATCACGTTCTCTTTCCCCCAGAGTACTGAATATGTCTGATGGTTTCCATACATTCTCTCTGAGACAAAACACAAAAAAATCACTGAAACCTTATTATACATTTTGACACAACATACTCCATAGTATTCAGTAATAAACTTTTAACTAGCTCTTAAGTCTTCAGAGTTAATATTTCACAAGAAAGTCAAGAAAAAATCATATTCACAAGATATGAGTTACATACATGGCAATTTTCTGCTCAAACTGCTGAGATGTCTCCTGACTTTTATTTAAAACAGATTTATTTTCATCCTGGACACATGACACCTCAGTTTTTTGGAGTAGTTCCATAACGTTCTCATCCTTATGCGGATTAGGAATACTGTTTAAATGTAGACTGTACTGACCTAGGAAGTAAAATGCATGCTTTAAAATTAATACTAAAATTGCATCTATTACCTTATTTTAGCATACTGCTATACAGTTTAAAAAACATTGCCTTACACATCACCTAATTATTTCTCACAGCAATCTTTGTAGTGGGTATTTGACTCACTTTTTGTCAAAAAAGGAAACTGAGCAGAGCCGTACAAATTCCTGAATCAAACAACAAACAAGAACAAAAATAAACTTCCATTTACTCCTGCCAACATATACTATAAATAATATAAACAAAAACAATTGACAACTTCATTGAGAATAAAAGCAAATAGTTCTATGAAAACTCACTACCTTTTCCTAATGTAGCTTGGAAATCAGTGAAAAACTTTACCATGGGCCACTGGCTTTATGCCCCAGCTATATCTATTCCGAATATTTTTGATTCATGTTGGCTTTATTCTACATTGCTCCTTAACATGCTAGTCCTCCTAGTGAAGAAAGAGCATATCCAATATGTAGGTCATTGTATGATTAGGAAAATTCTGCTTTTAACTTTATTAATATTTTCTCTCATTCTCTTTGCTAAGTTTTTATTTTTTTGTTTTCTGAAGTAAAATTCTAGACTTACAAGACAAAATCTAGCTCTCATTTAACAAAGGATTATAATCTAGACCAAGAGAATGTAGATGACTCCATCTTAGCACCTTGGGAGTATATCTTCATATACTTTATTTGGAGAACTCTTCCTGGTGACTGTTAATTTTATTTTTATTTATTTCACTATTGCCTCACAAAATGTTAATGATATTTCCACTTATTCACAATTCCTTAGCTCAAAGCTTACAATTATGATTATTGAAACAGAAGGCATGTAATATTCTTTTTTAAAAATATATTTTATTGATTTTTTACAAAGAGGAAGGGAGAGAGATAGTTAGAAACATGGATGAGAAAAGCATCCATCAGCTGCCTCTTGCATGCCCCCACTGGGGATGTGCCCACAGCCAAGGTACATGCCCTTGACCGGAATCGAATCCAGGACCCTTCAGTCCGCAGGCTCCATCCACTGAGCCACACCAGAAGGCATGTAATATTCTACTACTCCTTTCAACTTTGTATTTTAAAAAGATAGTGCTGCCAATCCTTAGCATGGATTGTGAGTTAGGAAAAGCAAAATATAAGGGCCAGGAAAAATCAACATTTTCAGCAAGCAAGTCAAATCTTCACAGTAGGGGGTCCCTCAATTTTCACTAGAAGTACTATAATGGTTTGGTGGAACATTTTATATAATTCTTTTAAAAATATATATATTTTATTGTTTTTTACAGAGAGGAAGGGAGAGAGATAGAGAGCTAGAAACGTCGATGAGAGAAAAACATCGACCAGTTGCCTCTTGCACACCCCCTACCGGGGATGTGCCCGCAACCAAGGTACATGCCCTTGACCGGAATCGAACCTGGGACCTTTCAGTCCGCAGACCGACGCTCTACCACTGAGCAAAACCGGTTTTGGCCATTTTATATAATTCTTTTTAATGTAAGTAACGTTTTCTACATTCTAATAAAAGTACAGTAGTGTTGTGTGTTACCATCTTTTCTAGAGTTCACAGAAAACTGGATTTCTTAAGGCTATGGCTCATGAGAATAATATTCTGGGCATTAACCATATATATGACATATTATAAAAGTAATCCTGTACATTTATTTACCTTAAGAGATCAATCATTTTGAAAAACTGTTATGTTAAAATAGAATTTAAGAGGCACAGTTTTGAAAAATTCAATGAACCTGGAATTCTAAAACATTTTATATCAATAAAATGTATTAAAACTTCAGAAGGTCTTACTTGTTTCCTCCTCCTTTCCATTCTCAGTCAGGAACATGGATCTATTTCCATGGTTTACATTCATCAAAATCTGTTGAAGTTGGTCTTGTGTTAGACACACCAAATTACTCTTCATATTTTCACCTGTGATGTGATTTTTGCAAGGCTTCTGTTTAGCTATTACAGGTGTATTTAAGGTGTTTCTAGTCTTCTGTATGTTAGGGGTTATAGGTGAACTCTCTTTCCGGATATGAAGACAGTCTTTATCAGCATACTGCTTGCATAAATCTTTAGCCATACTATTTTTTTCACCTTTTGCCAGTGATGCTTCAGAACCAATTCTCTTCTTTTCCAAAAGTTTTTCACTACTGATACAAGTATTTTGTGTTGACTTTAGAATGCATCCAGTTTGTTTTGTTCTTAAAAGACATTTTCCAATCTTAGTTTTATTTCCCATCTGTTAAAATACCAAAAATGTATTCTTTATTACAGCCCATGAAAAATCAATAATTATCTTGATATATATGATAAATCAGACCTTTAAACTTTTTCCCATTTAGCTAATATATTGTATATATTAAAAAAAAAAACACCTAACTTTTAACTTTTGCAAATCTTCACTTGAAAGCTTTACCAATGACTGGAAATATTTAATTCAGAATAAAGTATATGAAGAACTTTTATTCTATTGTTATAGGACATCTCCATTCTACTTCAGCACTGAATCTCATGTAATGATTACATGACAGGGGTGGGGTGGGGGTGAGAGTGGGGGGGTGTTCCTCAGCCTGGCCTGCACCCTCTCCAATCTGGGACTCCTTGAAGGATGTCCTACTGCCGGTTTACAGGGATTGGGCCTAAACCAGCAGTTGGAGATCCCTCTCACAATCAGGGACTGCTGGCTCCAGCCGCTCACCTGCCTGCCTCCCTGCCTGATTGCCCCTAACCACTCTGTCTGCTGGCCTGGTAGCCCCCAAATGTCCCCCCACCAGCCAGATCACCTCCAACTGCTCCCCCTGCTGGCCTGCTCACTCTCACCTTCCCTCCCCATTGGCCTGCTCAACCCCAACTGCCCCCCTGCTGGCCTGCTCACTCCAAATTGCCCCCCCCATTGTCCTGATCACCTCCAATTGACCCCCAATGACTGCTTGCTCACCCCCAACTAGCCCCCCTGCTGGTCTGCTTACCCCCAACGGCCCCTGCTATCCCAATCCCATCCTGGCCTGATCACCCCTCCTGGTGACCCAAGGTCCCAGCTCCTCCTTTTTTTTTTCTTTTCTTTTTTTTTTTCCAGTACCTCACCTCCATTGCCAGAGGCAACCCAAGCTGCTCTCTCCAGCTCTGTGGTAGCCATCATTTTTGTTGGGATTTATTTATCTCCTATAACTGAAACTGTATAGCCTTGATCTGAGGCCAGGGCTGGTCAGGGTGGGTGGGAAACTTGGCTTCTTCCATTGCCAGGGCAACCCAAGCCTCCTGCTTGCTCCACCTACGTGGCAGGCCACCATCTTGTTTGGGTTAATTTGCATACTCACTCCTGACTGCTGGTAGGCATAGCTTGGGGTAGTGAAGTGATGGTTAATTTGCATGTTCCTCTTTTATTAGTGTAGATAAGCTACTAGCCCTTATTCCTTGAATAATTTAACCCATGGGTCATCATCCCTCTAACATAACTCTGCCTTAGTTATCAGTGCTTTCATATCCATAGATCATTCTTCCAATAAATTGGTCTCTCATTTCTTTGAACTCTGTTTCTATACTCTTGTCCTTCATACTACCTCAGTTACTCATTCCCATAGTGATACCATTTCCCCGAAAATAAGACAGTGTCTTATATTAATTTTTTTCTCCCAGAGTTGCGCTAGGTCTTATTTTCAGGGGATGTCTTCTCTTTCCATGTGCTAGGTCTTATTTTCGGAGGATGTCTTATTTTCGGGGAAACACGGCATTTTATACTGACCTTGAAACTACTCATAATTGCAATCCCGCCATAATCTATTTCAAGCATTGCACATGACCACCACCTCCTATTATTTTCCAGCTTAACTTTCTTAACATATCCCAACAATTCTCTAACTCTGCTGGGATCTATATTGATCCTACCACCTTCCTCTTGTCCTTGCATCCCTCTTTACCCATCTTAAATTCCATGATCAACCAAAACCATCACTGTTTTCCATTCTCAACTTCTCTGTTCTATATCAAATATACTTGGCAAATCCCAAACCTGGTAAAATCTAACTTTTCACCTACTCTGTGACTGCAACCAAAGAGAAAAACACACAGTCACAACATACAGTTTCATCTTAAATACATACCCAGGAACCACCAATGGCTCTTCATGCTACCTGGCAGGCACACATTTCCAAAGTTCATTTAGACTCATCTCATTCATTTAGCAATAATCTCAACTTTCTCCTAGCCCCTAATACTTTCTTTCATACTAATTCTCAGCTGAAGACCTTGATTAATATTTCACTAAAAATCTCACAAGGAAGCATTTAGAAAAAAGAGAGAAAAAAAAACTTTGTTTCTACCATCAAATCTGTATCAGCATCTGTACTCAAACTGCTTGCCCTCCTGTTACTGACACATCCCATAACCCTTTCTCAAGAATCTCTCTCTAGGAATACTTTGCTTTTTCTTGAATCATCGCCATTTCTTTTCCACTGTTAACATCTTTTTTACCATCTTAAAAAATTCTTGATCCCACTTTCTCCTCTCATCTTCTATAATTCCAACCCAACGAAGCTTTCACCCAACCACCTGACCCAAACTGCTCATCAAAGTCACTAATAATTTGTACACTGCTAAATTCAATTACTACCAATTTTCAAACTCTCATCTTAACCTCTATATGACCTGGCAGTGTCCAATACAGTTGATTATTGCTTCCATTTTGAAACCCTTTCTCTATATTCACTTATAGGATTCCACAATCCTGGTTCTTCTTGCTACTACTCCTCAGTCTTTAGTGGCTCCTCCTTTTCTCTCAGATCTCTTAAAACTGGAATGCCTAGGGCTCAGTCCCAAGATCTCTTCTTGAGTTTCTAATAGACATTTCAAACTCAGCATGTCCCAAACTAAACTCCTGATCTCCCTCTTGCCCCTAATAACTTCCCTGTCTTTCAATTATTCTTGAATCTTCTCTAATAGGCTTCATTTAACTTGTCATCAAACCTTGTTTTGCTCCATCTCCAAAATATATCCTAATCTGACACTACTCTTAAACATCTCTTGCCCCTCTCTGTTCTAAGCCACTACCTCGTCTAAATTACTGAAAAACCTTCTAACTGGTTTTCCTGCTTCTACACTTGCTCCACAGTCTATTCTCAACACAGCAGCCACTGTGATTATCTTAATACTTGAGGCCCATTGCACACAATTCATTTCCGTTTGCCTCAGCTGGCCGCCTGGCCCACTGCTGCTAGTAGCTCTCCGCTGCCCATAGCTCTCTACCTCTAGTAGCTCACGCCCACAGCATGCTATGATAGCGTGCGTGATGGCATGACGACCATGTGCCTTTTATGATATAGATGTTAGTCAGAGCATGCCACTTTCTTCAAATGCTTCTAATGGCTTCCCATCTCACTTGGGGAAAAAGCTGAACTTCTCACTCTGACCAAATATTTAATGATCAGGTATACTCCCATTTGCCTCCATTATCTCATCTCTAATCTCATTTTCTCTAAGCCTCTAGCCATTAGGGTACCTTGTTCTTTAAATTCAACAAGAAGCTTCAGTCTTAGTCCTTAGTACTAGTCAGTTCCTCTATCTGGAATATTCTTCCTTCAGATTCTATAAGGCTCATTCATTCATGTCCTTCAAATATGTGCTCCAATATCACCAGCTTAGTGAGTTCCTCTCTGTCCACTCTTATTTAAAACTGCAGGTTTCCTGCTCTATTTTCACTCCCACCTCCCTATTTTTTTTTCCCCCACTAGGTGTTTAATAAATTTTTGTTCAATGACTATCCTTAACTATGCCATTTTAGAAAATAATTCTTTATCCCTCATCTCTCCTCCAAATTAGCTCCCCTTTACAAAATATCCCATTTCTGTGGCTCTTTACTTCTAATCTCTCAGGCCAGAAATCATGGAGTTATCTTTTATTCTTGTATTATATAGTTATTTATCTTCCTTTTCTAGAATTTTTTTTTTTAGCTAAATAGCAAGTATTGGTTCTTACTTTCAAGCCTTATTCTCATCATTTACACAACAATAAGCCTAAAACTAGGTTTTCATTTCATTACTAGTTCACAGATAGCTTATCTCCAATTTATCCCATTTAATCTACTATACATTTCTGCAAACCCAACTAACCTAAAATAATTCCAATAGTCATTTAATCATTAAGTGTTTTTATGTGCTACTATGGGAAAAAGAATTGGATGTGTAAAGTTGAATAAGACAATATTCTTACTACCAAGGAATGAAGTAGATGCCACGTGACTTTCATCTAGATTATCATATCCCAATTTTCCGTCTTTCAATAAAGTACACAATACACAATCAAACTTTGACCAATTCACCAAACACATATTGTTCTACTTTTGTATTCTCCCATCCCTTTGGCTATTTTAATACAACAAATTCTGAAAATGAGAGGTAGAAAACTCAAATGCCTACTGTATTGTAGAGTGGGTGGAACCTAGGATAAACTGAACAGTACTTTTCCGCCTAAAGGAGAACCAAGCTACAATACAAAAAAAACAAAAACAACAACAAAAACCTACACTACTAAAAAAAATCTATTTACTAGATCATCCAATATTTCAAGGGAACCAAAAATGCCATGTTTTACTTTAAATTTTCCAATTTTTAGACATTGGTGACTCATTCTGGTTTTTAAAAACCACTTTGTGGATTAAGCAAATTATCAGCAGACTGCAAATAAACTGAACCTAACACCTCAGTTTTCAACTACTACAGCTCCTACTAATCTCACCCTTCTTTGACTTATACTTTTTTTTTTTTTTTTTTTTTTTAGGCATTAGTAGTTGAGCATTTCATTTCTCTAAGCGTCTTACTTGAACTGCTAAGTGCAATGCATTCCCTTAAATATCTTGAAAATCTTTCCCTTCTTTTCCCTTCTTTAACAGATCTGTTAGGATAAAACTATCCTTCACAGAGTTGCCTGAAGCCCTACAACACAAATTAAATTATATCTAGCCCACTTTTCAAAAATTCTTTAGTGATCCTGACATGAAGTACAAATAAATTCAAACTGAGTATTCATTTAAACTCTTCATGATTGTAACCCCGCCAAGCTTTATGTTCTACACTTCCCAAGATACACACTATTTCCCAAATGCTAATTATGCTTTGTAGCTATTTTGCCCACCATTTCATGAACTCAGAATACACTTCCTTACTTCTTTGACTATAAATATCTTTTTTAAAAAATGCATTTTATTTAATTTTTACAGAAAGGAAGAGAGATAAGAGTTAGAAACATTGATGAGAGAGAAACATCAATCAGCTGCCTCCTGCACACCCCCCACTGGAGATGTGCCCATAAATAAGGTACATGCCCTTGACTGGAATCAATCCTTAATGAGCATTCCCTGGTCTTTTCAAACGACAAAGAGTTGCTCTTTCCTGTGTTTTCAAAATATATATTATTGATTTCAGAGAGGAATGGAGGAGAGAAACTTCAATGATGAGAATAATTGATAGGTTGCCTCTTATACATGCCCTACTGAGGATGGAGCCCACAACTCAGGCATGTGCCCTTGACCAGAATTAAACACAGGATGACACTCTATCCACTGAGCCTAACCAGTGAGGGCTGTTTTCTTCTATTTATAACCCTAATATTTTATTCTTGTATTATAGTTATTTACCTGACACTCCCATTCCAAGAAACAAAGACTAGGTTTTACTCCTCTCTCTTAATCTCAGAATAAAGCCAAGAATACAGCTCTACACATATATTGGACTTTTACAGTGTACTAAGTCCTTGTTAAATAGAAATCTACTAATTGGAGCTCTAATTTAATTAGATTACTTTACCACATTACAATTACATCAAAAATAATATACACACAAAAAGAAAATAAGAAACAAATGCAAAAACAAAGAAATATATAGAAGAGATCTTCAAAAATATTTAACAAAGAAGTAAGAAAAAACTTGGCACAAGAACACTATATATTCAGCTCAACTCTAAATACTTTTTGTACCTTAATTCAAAGAACAATGAAAAGAGGCAACAAAAAATTGTAAACTACCAAATATTCAATTATATTCAAGTTACCTAATAATAAAAAAATGTAACCCAGATCATTTCTCTAGTGGTTATGGAATAAGATGACTTTAATAGCTCAAAAAGGAGGGTCTTTCTCATAAACATTTTTATGTAGCATGTTGCTCTTTAACCTAGTTTAATTCTACCAATATTTTTCATAATATAAAGATAGTATCCAATGCAGTTGTTTAATATTGGCTGATTTCACAATTTTTGAGGCCAGGATCCCAAGGCCAGAACCAGAGAAAAGTAACATTTTAAAATAGGAAATGTGTAGCCCTGGTTGGCATTCTCAGTGGTTGGAGCTTCAGTCAAGGGCACTACCTGGTGGCAGGACCGATCCCCTTCCCCATTGGCACATGTGGAAAGCAATCAATCACTGTGTCTCTGCACTTTGATATTTCTCTCTCACCCTCTCTAAAATCAACAGAAAAAAAATATCCTCACATCTACGTGAGGATTAAAAATATATATTAGTATATAAAATGTACTTCCTAGCCCTAACTGGTTTGCCTCAGTGGATAGAGCCTGCAGACTGAAGGGTCCCAGGTTCGATTCCAGTTAAAGGTATGTACCTTGGTTGCGAGCACATCACCAATAGGGGGTGTGCAAGAGGCAGCTGATTATGTTTCTCTCTCATCAATGTTTCTAACTCTCTATCCCCCTCCCTTCCTCTCTGTAAAAAAGTCAATAAAATATATTTAAAAAATAAAATAAAATGTACTTCCTAGCACTAATATTGTATATATCCTTTAGTTTGTCACTACTTTAATTTTCACATGTAGAAAAAGCTGTACAAAATTTTTTAATGTTTTATATTTAAAATAATTTGTGAGATAATTTTGAGTTTAGAATTCATAAATTATTCATGACATTAAATCATTAATATTCTTTCATTTATCTTCCTTTAAGCCTAAGAAATAAGGCTAGTAACTATCTTTACTTTGTATTCATTAACACAGATTCAAAATGCAGGAGAGATTTTGATAGAATTAAGGAAGTTCTCTAACCACAGTGTTAAACTTGATGATGAGAGAGTTCAGTTGTGTTTAAAGAGTACACCACGAAGATGGTAGTATTTCAACCTGTGAGGAATGGGTAAAACAATTATAGATAGGTACTGCAGGAACTTACCCAGTAGGAAAAAAGAAAAACACTATGAAGAGAGAATTCATGAATAAATTACTAAGAAAAGAAAGAATTCAACATAGAGCTGCCAAAGTGTGAAGTTTAAGAAGTTAAAAAACTGATTAAAACAAAAAAAGGGAAATAAATACTAGTGTTTGGGATTTTTATTTTCTGTGAAGAAAGGAGGATCTCGGCAAGCTCTGTAAATAGGGAAGAATAGCTCCCTGAAATAAAAATCAATACAGAAGGAAAACTTACATCAGTATTTTTTTCCCAGTTTTACTGAGGTATAATTGACAATTTAAGAATTGTGTATATTAAGGTATAAAACGATAATTTGTTACATGTCTACACTCTGAAATAATCAGATAATACTCAAGCTAATTAACATAACCATCACCTCACGGTTACCATTTATCAGTATTTTGGAGATCCAAAAGTAACAGGGATAAATCCAAACAATTTGCTTTAAGATATATAATTTAAAATTAGCATCATCTGATACTTATTACTCTAGAAACTACAGTAAAATATCCCTAGACCACAGGTAAAATTTTGTGATGATTCTACCAAAAGTCTATGACTAGTAACTTATTTATTTATAGGCATGAAATGTATCTCCAGATGTTCTAAATTAGTTAAAAAGACAATTAAATGTCTTCACAAAAATGGTGTAGCTAGCATGTCCATCAAGGACATCAATGAAAGAGGGAACATATGAGAGAGAATAGAGGCTAGGGGAGGTAGAAATCATCTAATACAAGTTGCTTTTAATCTAGGAGCTTAAAGAGAGACTGTACTGGTTAATGTGACTCAAATAAAAATAGTTGTAATATTTTAACAGGGCAAGGGCAGGAAAAAATACACAATCTGTAGTCAAACATTAAGGAGCAGATAATGTACATAAGTATATACAGAGAGAAATAATTTTTATATTGGTAGCTTGTGGAATTATTCTTATCATCACCATCCATTTATCAACATGGTGAGTATTAAAACAATCTCTACCAATTGATTAAACCTGGAAGAAACAGCAAAGACATCAAGGGCTCAGAGTTGTAAAGTGCCATATCATCCACAATGGGCTCCATTCATAAACATGCAAGAAAAACTTTAAGATGCTGCAAAGAAAAGGGAAAAAAGGGAATACTGTAAGGAAGAGCAGAGTAGAAATTTCGGCTGATGTTAATCTAAAAGTGGAAAAGAAAAGAAAAAAGAGTACAAAGTAGTGATATCAAACATTTTTTTTTATAGTGGTAATGTAATTCTGTAGAAAAAGGTATTATGGCCCTAGCCAGTTTGGCTCAGTGGCTAGAGCATCAGCCCACCGACTGAAGGGTCCCAGTTTCAATTCCAATTCCTTTCAAGAACTCGTACCTTGTCTCGGGTCCCCTGGCCCCGGTCAGGGGTGCGTGCAGGAGGTAACCAATCAATTTGTCTCTCTCACATAGATATTTCTCTCTGTCTCTCCCTTCCACTCTCTCTAAAAATCAATGGAAAAAATATCCTTGGTGAGGATTAACAAAAAGAAAAAAGAAAAAAATACTATGGGTTCCTAATTTTAAAAAAAATTTAGCCAAGACCGGTTTGGCTCAGTGGATAGAGCGCCGTCCTGCGGACTGAAAGGTCCCAGTTTTGATCTCCAGTAGGGGTGTGCAAAAGGCAGCTGATCGATGATTCTCTCTCATTGATGTTTCTAACTCTCTTTCCCTCTCTCTTCCTCTCTGTAAAAAATCAATAAAATATATATTAAATTTTTTTTTTAATTTTTAAATTATCATTAAGCTCAAGTTTGATCTCTTAAAGGAGAAAGCTAAATGCATGTAAGAATTTGTGAGTCAAATATACCCTTTTGGTGTGGAAAATGGCAGTATGAGGATGTAAAGTATAGTCTAGGACACACAGTCAATGTTGTATTATCTGTGTATTGTGCCAGGTGAGTATGCTTTTTAAAGTTTATTGCTGTCTCATCACTATGCTCTACACCTGAAACTAATATAAATTATTGAATGTCAACTGTAATTGAAAAATAAATTTTAAAAAAAATGGAATGAGTATGAAAAGAAAAAATTTTGTTTTCAAGTATGAATATATATTTTTAAATATCTTGGGAACTGTACTGTCCAGTACTGTAGCTATTACATATAAAATTTAAAATTCACTTCCTCAGTCAATAACCACCTACCACTAGTGGCTACTATATTGGAAGCACTAGTTTTAGAACATTTCCAGCACTGATCTAGAGAAAAGGGTTCTAAAAGGCTCTTACAACAGAAAAATTATTATTCCATTCCTGTGAAAGAACCGGCCTGAAGACAAGGGAACAGTAACTTCTTATCATCACTCCTAACCCCTTATAATATTTTAGCACAGATTATTTTCAAATCACTGTAAGAAAACCACATTTTACATGTGAAAATAGGTCAGGTCAAAGTCATTTGTTTGGCTTACCTTTACAGAAATGTTTGACTGACGTTCTATAAAAGAAAAAAAAATTACTGATCAACTGAAAATATACTAAGGCAATTATAAAAATTTGTTTAAATTAGCATTGTTTTAAGATATTACTATCAGTAGAAATATTAACCCCAAAAAGCATTAACTTGGGATCCTGAGTGTTGTTTTATAGTATGGTTTAAGTATTTCTACTTCATTTTTATTTCCCAAGGTAAAATATAAACAGGTCAGGGGAAAAGAAAATAATGTAAATGAGAAGACTACCAAAGTATATACTCTTATTTTAAAATTAATATGAAAAATGACTTTAGCAACTGTGGTCTTACTGTAGATTTAATTTTCTCAAACATTACATTATTTACATGCACAGAACATAAATAAGTACATTTTCACTTAGGTTATACATTAGATAATTAGGATATTTGCTACATGCAAATATAATGAAGAGATATATAACACATGAACTATATTGGAACATTAAATTTCATGAATACTGACAGTGGTTAGCAGTGATGTACCTTGAATTGGCTAAAAATTAATTTAAGGAAGTTAGGGTAAACTTTTTCAAAGTACCATTTAAATATCCCTCTACTACAGGTAAAAAGTCAGTTAAAGTAGTATAAATTTTATACAGGAATTTTAAAAGTTAACATTTTTAGATTCCAGTAACTTAGCATACCATATGGAGACAATATTAGCTTGGTTTTTCCATCCAGTAATTCGGTTTCAAGCTTTAAACCATCTCTGCAAAATAAAAGAAAGTTGTCTGTAAGAAACAGCAAATGTTTTAAATAATCAGAAACGATCACTTGAACCTGAGAGTATATCTGTTCTTTTGAATTATACAGGAATCTTATAAATATTAAACCATTCTTTTATAACTCTAGACTGGAAAAAATAATGCTAAAACTCCTCACTTAAGTTAAAGGAGAAAAACATGTCTAACTCCATTTATTAGTTTCATAATGATCTCCTGATTAACATTTTATGGCATACTTGTGCATTACTTTTTTATTGTTTGAAGCATTACAAATAGTAGTACATACGTCTCCTTTTTTCCCCCTTGTCCTCCCCCCAGCCTCCCCACCCCCCTGCATATGCCTTCACCTGCCCCCCATCCCCGTCTTATATCCATTGGTTATGTTTATATGCATGCATACAAGTCCTTTGGTTGATCTTTTACGGCCCCCTCCCAGCATCCCTTGCCTTCCAACATGTACATTATTTGAAAATGAGCTATCATGTTGCTACCCCAGTTATTCACGGTATGAGCGTCGAGTTTCACTCTATTTCAACTAATATATATTCATATTTACTGACACATTTGTTATCACAATAAATCCACAGAAATTATTTATATTCAAAATAATTTAATTCTTGTGTTATTTGTTAATTGTATTATTTTCCATACTAACAACTATAAATCTACTTTTGCCCTGCACTCTGTAAGAAAACTGTGGCTGCTATACATTTTTTAAAGATTTTTTAAAATTGATTTTATGGAGTTACAGCAAAAGAAACCATCAACAAAACAACAAGAAAGCCCACTATATGGGAAAACATATTTGCAAATATTATCACTGATAAAGTTTAATCTCCAACATCTACAGACAGCTTACACAACTAAATAAAAGATAAATGACCCAATTAAAAAATGGACAATGGACCTAAATAGAATATTTTCAAAAGAAGACAGAAGGAAGGCCAAAAGGCACATGAAAACATGCTCAAAGTCACTAATTATCCGAGAGATGCAAATCAAAACAACAAGGCGGTACCATCTCACACCTGTCAGAATGGCCAACATCAACAAATCAACAAATGACAAGTGTTGGCGAGGTTGCAGAGAAAAAGGAGCCCTCGTGCACTGCTGGTGGGAATGCAGACTGGTGGAGAACAGTATGGAGCTTCCTCAAAAAACTGAAAATGGAACTCCCATTTGACCCAGTAATCCCACTCCTAGGAATATATCCCAAGAAACTAGAAACACCAATCAGAAAGGATATATGCACCCCTATGTTCAGAACAGCACAATTTACATTAGCTAGGATTTAGAAACAGCCTAGGTGCCCGTCAGCAGATGATTGGATCAAAAAACTATGGTACATCTACACAATGGAATATTATGCTGCCATAAAAAAGAAGGAATTATCATTTGCAGCAACCTGGATGGATTTGGAAAACATGCTGAGTGAAATAAGCTAGTCAATGAAAGAGAAACACCACATGACCTCACTCATTTATGGATAATAAAGAACACTATAAACTGATGAACCAAAAGATATACAGTAAAGCAATAAGCAGACTGTCAAATTACAGCAGGAAGGGGAGGGAGATCTCGGGGAGATAGATCAACCAAAGGACTTGTATACATGCTTATAAGTACAACCAATGGACACAAAACTCTGGGGAGGAAGGGCATGTATTGGGGGAGGGGGGCAATGGTATATTACACAGATAATAATTTAATAAAAAATAAATAAATATAAATAAATAAATATATATATTTTTCCCCCCTGAAAAAAATAATAGATTTTATGGAGGGTGAAAGAAAAATATCGGTGGCCTCCAGCACGCCCCCTACTGGGGATCGAACCCGTACCCTGATTGGGGGGGGAGAGGGAGGAGGAAGGGGATGCAACCAGCAACTCTGCAGTGCTAGGGATTAGATGATGTCCAACCATCTGAGCCCCACAGGCCAGAGCCGGCTACTATCCTCCTATTTTGTGCCAGTAGACGCTGTCAATAAACTTGTACATCTGTGAGGGTCTTCATAAAAACTCCTCTAAACACAAAAGGAGCAGCCCACAACGTTAATTTAATATTTCACTTAAAAAAGAAAAAAAAGGTGGGACAAAAGTGACTTCCAAGAGACAAAACTAGCTCCAGCGGAGAGAGGCTGGGAAAGGTCTGGTGAGGAACACGTCGCCCCCACGTGCTGGAGAGGATAAAACCCGGGGAAAGGCGGCTGGAAGGGCTTCCCGTGGCAGGGACACGGAGGGTTCGTGTTTGCGTCGGTGAAACACACACTCTCAGTGGAACCGCCAAGCGCCTCCGCGTGGCGGGGCTGCGGGTCAATTCCCTCCGGCTGCCCTGTTTCCTCACCCCTGAATTCTCCAACAGAAGTCCTATGTGCTAACCCATGTGAAGTTGGCTGCGTTAGGGGGCTTTTCGCCTTCTTTAAAACGTTACACTTTGCCAAAACCGGTTTTGCTCAGTGGATAGAGCATTGGCCTAAGGACTGAAAGGTCCCAGGCTCGGTTCCGGTCAGAGGCATGTACCTTGGTTGCGGGCACATCCCCAGTGGGGGGTGTGCAGGAGGCAGCTGATTGATGATTCTCTCTCATCGATGTTTCTAACTCTCTATCCCTCTTCCTTCCTCTCTGTAAAAAAATCAATAAAATATATATTTTTTAAAAAATGTTACACTTCTCCCTGATGAAAACAAAGCAGGCAGCAGTCCTTTTTCATCCCCTGGGCGCCTGCAGAGGGGCCTGGCCGGCGCGGCGCCCCGGAAACCCCAGGACCCCGAGGGGCCTGGGCCCCGCCGCGGGCGTCCGCCTCCTCCGCGCGCCCGCACGACCCGCAGCCTCTCCTCCCAGGGCCCAGGGCAGGTGCAGGGAACCGGCATGGGCCAGGCTCCTCCCCGGGAAACCGCCAAGCTTGGCCTCTCCATCCCCCCGCTCCCGTTTACTCCGCTCCTGCACGCCTCTCCTCCCTCAGGAGGGAAAGGGGTTTAACTCAGCTGCGACGCGGGAAGCCAGGGCAGCGGCGGGCGGTGAAGGCCGCCCGGGGCCCCGCCCACTTCGCCTCAGGGCGCCGCAGGCCCGGAAGGTTCTCTGAGGAGCCCCGGGGCCCACCCAGCCTCACGCCCTCTAAAGCGGGGGACCCTTTCTCACCCCCAGCTTACCCCAAGTTCATGGCCTGACCTCCCGCTCCCTCCACCGGCGCCCAAGCCCCTTGTGTACGTCGGTTGCCGGAGCGGATCAAGAAGCTCAACGCCGATTGGGTGCAGAGACGCCGGCAGGCGGAGAGAGGACCAATGGGGGTTGGTGTTGCTGGTGGGTGCGCTCATCGGGGCGCAGCTGTGCGGCCACCGGCTTCCCAGGCCCCACCTGGAGCTCCGGGTCTGCACACGTGGATGGGAGAGGCCCGCGCCTCTCGGAATTGTGCCCGCCCCAGAGGTCAAGGCCTCAGAGAAGTGCCTCAGCCCAAGGGGAGGTGGCAAAAGCAGGGAGAAACAAAAAGCATACACATCTTTAGGAAATGAACGTTTTCTAAGTTTTATGCCCCGAAGAGAGGCTTGGTTAAGTTGTACAACAAGTGAGAGGAGGAAGGGAGGAAACCACTAGGGTGGGTGCAGGGCGTGGCTTGTGCCTTGCCCTGACCTCAAGCACGAAGCCTAGCACATTGTAGCTCTTCGTAAATGAGCAGCAACAATTGCAAGTGCTCAGCAAATTAAGCTTTTAGGTGCCAGGCGTGGCTCTAAGCGCCTCATGTCTACTATTTCAGTTTTCAGACATGATCCTAAGGCACAGAGAGGGTAAGCAACTGGTCCAAGCAAGGGTCACGCACGGATCCAGAGCCCATGCATGGCCCAATCTAGTGTTACATGAGTCTTCCTATTCATCCTCCAAATAACATCTTAAGCGCCCCCTGGAGACCACCAGCCGGTGACATAGGAACCGGTTCTCCGAACTCCCCAATCAGGATACTAATGCATTGAAGATCCCAGGTCAGTGGGAGCTTCACTGCAGACAGTTGATGTCATTAACTTCTTATCGCCACAGCACCAGGCGCGGAGCAGTATAGGCAGTACATAGTTCTTAAACGATGAACAGCAAAATTTTTTTTAAATGACAACTTTATAAAATTCAACTGGATTATATTTCATGATGAAGATGCCCCTGGATGACAATGCAGTTACTAAAAGTTCACAGTTTTTTCATCTACTTTTATGTGATTTTTACAAACTATATCTGTAATAAATTAGGCACATTGAATTCTCTTGGAATGTTCAGTGAAAACGCAGAGATTTTAAATATTTACTAGGTACTTGGGATGTAGAGAATATATTTAAATAAACATCTGTTAACTTGCTTGACTGAATAAATAAAGACGTACCAATGTACATTTGACCCCATGTTTTATTTTTAAGGAATTCATATATATATATATATATATATATATATATATATATATATATATATTTTTTTTTTTTTTTTTTAAAGGTTAAAAGGGTTTAAAGCAACATGTTAACAGATTTTTTTCTGGGAGGTAGGATGGTATGACTTTAAATTTTTTATTTTGGTTCTAACTTACTATGAAAATGTTTAAGTAAACAAAAAAATGACAGAATAGTACAATAAACACCTGTATCCTCAACCTGGATTTGACAGTTGTTAATGTTTTGCACATTTCCTTTATCTTCCTCTTTCTCTCTCTCTCCCCACAGGAGCAGGCAGGCACAGGGAACCGGCATCCCTAAATACACATACACACACACACACACACACACACACACTTTTTTTTGCATCATTATTTGCAAGTTAGTTACAGACATTATAACACTTCCCATAAACATTAAAGCATGTATCTCCTAAGAATATGATCTTCTATTAACCATAGCATTATTACACCAAAGAAAGTTAGCAATTTCATGATAACATCAAATGTTCTGTGCCTATTTATGTTCCATCTCTATTTAACTTTCCCACTTATACTAAGAATATCTTATAGTTTTTTATTTTGAAAGCCAGAGCCAATCAAGGATTATATTTGGCGTTGAGGATCCTTTATCAATCTCTGTCTCCCACTCTCTCCCCAAAAAACATAGTATATTTATTAATAAACGATTAACCTTTACATATTTTATTTTTTGCTATAGAAATATCTATAACAAAAATTTATATTTATTTAAACCATTTTAAAGTGTACAATTCAGTGGCACAATGTTGTGCAACCATCACCAGTATTAGTTTCCAAAACTCTTTCATTACCTCAAATAGAAACTGTATACTCATTAAGAAACAATCCTCCAATCCTTCTTTCCCCCAAACCCCTGGAAATCTCTAGTCTCATTCTGTCTCTTTATGAATTAGTCTATTCTAGATATTTCACATAAGTGGGATCATATGTTTGTCCTTTTGTACCTGGCTTCTTTCTAGCATAATGTTCAAGGTTCATCTGTGTTGTGGCCTATATCAGAACTTCACTCCTTTTTATGGCCAAATAATATTATATATATATATGTATGTATATGTATGTATATGTATATATATAGTGGAATATATATATAGTGGAATATATATATATATATATATATATATATATATATATATATATATTGTATATATATATGCCACTTCTGTTTATTCATTCTTCTTCTATCGGCAGGTGGGTTGTTTCCATGTTTTAGCTCTTGTGAATAATGATGTTGCAGTGAATTTTGGTGTCTGTTTGAATCCCTGTGTGTTAGTTAGGGTTCTCTAGAGAAACAGAATCAATAGTGTGTATCTGTGTGTGTGTGTATGTGTGTGTGTATGTGTGTGTGGAGAGAGAGAGAGAGAGAGAGAGAGAGAGAGAGAGAGAGAGAGAGAGAGAGTTTTTACAAAAAAATATTTTCTGCCTGACCTGTGTGGTTCAATGGTTGAGTGTCGACCTATGAACTATGAAGTTACGGTTCAATTCCTGGTCAGGGCATATACCTTGGTTATGAGCTCAATCCCCAGTGTGTGGGGTGTGCAGGAAGCAGTGGATCAATGACTCTCTCATTACTGATGTTTCTATATCTTTCTCCTCTCCCTTCCTCACTGAAATCAATAAAAACAGATTTTTAAAAAGTAATGCTTTCTTTAAAATGACAGTAGGTTTTGAGAATTTTTTACCAAGAAGGGAAGAGAGCTTGTAACGTATTTAATTGTCTGTGACTTCCCTGAATTTAACTTTCAATTAAATTCATTTAAAGGGCAGTGCAAGACCTTCCTAAGATGATGAATGTATATATCTTGCTCACCATAAAGTAAACAAAAGTAATTATGATTATTTGAACTGTTTATATCAGCAAAAAAGCATAAGAGCCAAAACCAGTTTGGCCTGCGGACTGAAAGGTCCCCGGTTTGATTCTGATAAAGGGCGTGTACCTTGGTTGCGGGCACATCCCTAGTGGGGGTTGTGCAAGAGGCAGCTGATCGATGATTCTCTCTCATTGATGTTTCTAACTCTCTATCCCTCTCTCTTCCTCTTTGTAAAAATCAATAAAATATATATTTTTAAAAAACATAAGAAAAATCTCTTCATATGCATTTATTTTGCTTAGCCACCTAAATCTCAAGTGTGTAAATCATTTCCTTCTTTAAATACTGTGTGTATTTTATCTCTGTATGAATAAATTGCTGCTTTTATCAAGTGCCTGATAAGGTAGTTTTAAGTTAAAAATCATGTCTTTATTTTGCTTCTGGTGGTTTGCATCAGCCTGGGTCCAATCAGGAGAGAGAAGTCACGCCATAATTTGAACAAGGGAACGTTTAATATGAGGATTGTTAACTCTAACAGGAGATTGGTGTACTGAGAGGTTGGGTAATAGGAAGTAAAGAGAGCTCTACAAACTACAGGAATAACAGATGTAAGAACCAGTTAGACAAAGTTCCCACGGGAGAGCCTCCTTGTGCCCAGGACTGAGGTACAGACCTTGCTGGAGGCTTGTGCCTCTCCAGGGTCCTGGAGGAATCTGTTCAGGAAGGTGTCTCACCAGGAGCCCTCCACTACAAAACTGCCTGAGCGGGTCGCTGAGCTGGGCTGATGGGGGGAGGGGGGCACTGCAGGTGGCTGTGTGCTGCCAGCTGGTGTGCTCCGCAGGAGTTGAGTGCTGGGGAGGCTGTGTGTGCCAGGGGCTGGACACTGGAGAGGCTGCCCATGCTGCAGGAGCTGGGAACAAGGGGGGGGGGGGGGGGGGTGTTCGGAGGGGGGGGGGAGCCTCATTTGCTGAGGAGCTGGATTCTGGGTACCCTGCCATGTAAGTACACTGGACTCAGGAACGGTACTCTGTTCCTGCAGTGTCTCTCCAGCCCCCTCTACCGAGAAAGCTTAACAACCTGCCAGCTACAAAGGAAACATGCTCAAAGGGCCCAGATCCATTTTTTCAGAGTAAGCATAAAGTATGAACTGGAAACTGAGCCAAAAAAAATTTTTTTTGAGCACTGTAGAATTACATTTTTGATCTCCCAAAACATTCATTGATAGCATGAATTTAATACCAATATAAAGTTTCTTAACAAAGAGCTGAATCATAACAGGAGGCTCATTCCATCATCTGATGGACATTGAATACCAACTGATTTAGGTATGAATATAGCATATTCTGCTTGAGAAGATTATGTATTTCAGGTGTGTTTACATATTGCTGTCTATTTTAGAGCTCATTTGTTTAACAGCGCTCTCCTTATAATATGTAAATTTTATTAATAAAAAACTGACTTTAAAACATTATGATAGTAAAGTGCACAGATATTAAGTGTACAATGCAAAGAGTTTTAGTAAATTTACATACCAATTTAAATACCACTTCAATCACAATACAGAACTGTTCTCTGGTAGCCCCGTCTATGAATCCCCTCCCCTTTCTCTTGGCAATCACTGTTCTGATTTCTTTCACCTCCAAACAGAACATAAGTCTGCCAATACCCTGGTTTTAGTCCAGTGAGACCCATATCAGACTTTTGACCTTACAGTTCTGACATAACTGTAAGATAATAAACTTGTATTGTTTTAAACCACCAAGTGTGTGACAAATTGTTAAAGCAGTGATAAAACTAGTGCCTATTCTTATTCCATAAATAAGAGCACACCTTCTTCCTAATATAGCATCTAAAAAGAACTGAGCTCTGCAGATCTGATTGAGATTTGATCACTGTTGTGATGAACAAACTGTAGAATTTGTTTTAGGACAGTGAATGGATTGGGATGTCCTAGCTTTCCTCATCTCACATCGTCCCCTTCCCGAGCCCCCCGCCACCCCCCCCACCCCGCCACCACCATGTACATGCAAACATA